AGTTAAGCAGTTCAGAGATCAATTAAAAAGAAAACACCAATACACTGCAGCTCTCAAGGGCCTCAGATGGACCATACCTGTCCAAAACAGCGAAGGTAAGTACTACCCTGCTCATAATGCACGTGTTCCACGCTTTGACAAGTTGATAATGTAAGTAAGCATGACGTATAAGATCTGTCGGAATGTAGCTATCTGGGAACAGGGTTAGTCCTTCCTGGTCAACAGCATGCAAATCGACCTGATAAAGATCCAGGAATAACACTCTCTCTGCAGATAATACTTTAAATAAATTATATAACTGTAAAGCAATGCACTTCCTTATATTTTACTGCATCCTGCCCATGTCTCTTTAATTTTACAGTGTTTCCATTTTCATAATTTTAAATTATTTAAGTTTTCATTCCTGTTATAAAGGACGCCCAACATGCAGCTGTAATACACAATACAGCAATCAAGAAAAAGTTTTTGTCTTCGTCAAGATCCTATATTTTGTGTTTGGATTAATTTGCCACAAAACCAAACAGGCAAAAGGCAGCTCTTGTCTGTTTAGGTTATTAGGTTTGTTATCAATGAATTAGAAAAGTCAAAGATTATAAAAATATTCCATTGAAGAAACACAGGAGGGAATGTGGCAAAATGTTAGCAGTATTGCTCCTACTGTAGTTCATAATAATAATCATAATTAAGTGTATTTTTGATCTTCTGATTTGTACCAGATCCAGGCATTTTTATGGAATATGCCCTCTAAGTCTCAATTACAAGGTCTCTTACTGTACATTTCTTCTTTTTTTAAGTGATACTGTAAGAAAAAATATTAAACAGATGGCAGTTACAATAACCACAAACATGTAAAGATGAGTGAATCAATAGGTCTAATGCTAAATAAAATATTCTGGTCCAGTTCTTCTTGACAAATTATATGTGGTGCGGTAGATCAAAAGTACAACACAAGCCATCAATTTAATTGATCTACGTGAAATTAATGTGGTAATAAAGAAACATTAAACTCAACTCGATTTAAAAGTACAGTTATAAAATGCTCTTTGAGATCTGGCCATGCTGCAGGTCTAAAGGCCATTGCACACATACAGTAGCTCTATGAGCATTTGTGCTGTTGCGACGAATGCTCACTAATATGATTCAATGCAAATTTCATTCACTTCTCCTGCTTTGTTATCGTGTGTATACCATTTTTCACACAGTTGATATAATCCCATCTCGTGATCTCTTATTCCGTAAGGTCAGAACAGAAAAAAATCACATACTCTGATGAAATATCAAACGCACAGCAGATCCTATTATCCTAACACTATACTTAGAACAGATCTAATTTCGATAAAGCCTATTGCAACTTTATGCAATGGAAAATCCCTGCTTGAAATATAAAAATATTTGCGATTTAAACCCAAACCCACCTTTTGAATGGTGACGTCATCAAGTTCCTATAAACAAACAAGTACCAACCATACATAAAGGTACAGTAGCTCTTGATTATGAAATTGAAATTTTATGATCAGGCTGAAGTGTTTTAATTTTGGTACTTTCTGGGGAGGCTGTTCTTCTCAAAGCTGAATAAGTGATGCCCAAGCTGTTCTGAATACCAAATGAGTGCGGAAACGACAAGCAGAGTACCAGAGCAGAGATTAGTCTATCTTTCAGGGCATGGAAAAGCTATGTAATTTGCCGTGATTGTTAAGCCATTATCTCTTTGAGTCATTCTTGCCAACATTTTCTAAAAAATGAATTCCTCCTCTGCAGCACTTACACTGCATTCGCAGTTCAGCACCCACTGATTCCAAAGCAAAACCTTGATTTTATAAGAGCTCTTGATTGATCTGTACGTGGTTTCAAGCCGCAAATCTATCTGATGTGTGGCAAAGCCAAAGCTAAGTATGCAGTGCCTAAAACATGTACAACATTTATCGATTAATGATAATTGATACACTCCAGGCAATTCTAGAAATATCTCAATATGCTAAATAAAGTTATTTTTGTGGGAATAGGAATGATTGTTTTTAAAGCATGGCTGAGAAGGACAAGAATAATTCTATATAGCCCACTGCCATATTTGTCATTCACGTTGCACCTTTTAAATAACTGCTGAATAAATAAAGTACTATTTAATCTGAAATGAATAAAAAAGAGCGTGGAGCCTTCTTCAGAGAAATTATACATCGAGTGTGTTGTAAAATTATTAAAAGTAGTCATTCCTTGAAATGATGTCCCAGTTTGTTAAATGATCAAAAATTGTGTACAGAAGGTGTTGACTGTGTAATGTTCTGTGTTGGATTTGAAACAGACTTAACACTTACAGTAGCACTTAGAACCAATAGGTTTCCAATTTTGTCTTGTCTGACCACAAAACCATTTGCAACTATTTTAATGCTTTGCTGCAATCTTCACGAGGGGTTACAGATGGTTTTCCGACTCTGTCATACGGGACAGCTTTATGGATATTGAGTCTTAGATTATTTTCTCCTGCCTCAGTCATTGGACTCTGAAGCTCTAACGTCGTCACTGTTGGCCTCACGATGGCTTCAGTGCCGGATTTCCCATGAGGCACTGTAGGCACAGTGCTTAGGGCCTATGAAATTTTTAGGGCCTACGAAGGGGGGAAACACTAGTGACTAACGGAGAACGAGCTGAAACAACATGCTTGCGATCGACTCTGGGTGCTCCAAATCAATAATCATACGCTATCGAGCGGCTGTTCTAGAAACTAGAAATATCGAAACGATGGTCGCTTGACTCGCTCCGTCAATCACGCGGTTTAGCTGTCACGCCCTCTGCAGCCAGAGGGCGCTCCTTCTCTGTCCTGTCCCTAGTTTCCAGTCTGCTGTCCTTCCTGTCCCTCTCTTTCCCTTGGGCTATATATTTCCGGGTCTTGCATTCTGTCCTCGCTCAGCATTGACGTTCGGATGTCCTGAGACCCGCCTAGCACCAGGGCGCCCCACGTCCGCTCCCTGAGGGCATAGGTTTCTATACGGCAATCCTGAACTCTTTGCACTATGAGCCCGGGCCTTTTTCCCGTCTCGCCGCTACGCATATGGGTCTTTTTCTGCTCTCCTGCTCCCCACGGTTTGTCCCTTTGGACGTCCGTGACATTAGCATTAGAATAGTTTAAAGTGTGTCATGTCAATTGACATAATTCAATTGCCGTTCACCCCTCTTTTTACACATTTCGCAGTGAAAGCACCTAGGGCCTACGTTCACCTAAATCTGCGCCTGGATGGCTTTCCGAACCAGCTTCCTCCTTGCCCACCTCCTTAGTAAAGCCTCTGTCAGGCTGTATCCCTCCCTGTCACCTTTGCTTGCCGGAATAGGACTGGGTTCCCCAATGACAATGAATTGGACAAAGTGGTCAGAAAAGGCCATAGGACATCACTGGAATGGGGTGAGTACTTTTGCAAGACACTGTAAACTCGAGGGGATCAAGTGCCACTTTGGCACATGGCATTTCAAGTTCTCTGTAGGCTGCTTTATCTCACTTTATGCAAGGCTGACCATGCTCACTGTGGTACATTTCATCCAATCTCAGCGGTCACCCAGGAACTGGATGGTCGGATGACTACTGAACACATGCTGCAGGTGAGTCATTACAGGTTAACAGCACATGATTTAAATTATAGTCTGTTATCATGTTCTTAAATTTAAACTGTCCCAAACATTTAAAAAAATAAATCATGATAGCAACTTTTCATATAACCAAAAGCATCACCTTACACTGCTCCTCCCAAACCTTCACTTTCCTCGTTTCTTTTTCTTCAAACCTTAATCAAACTACTGTATACTGTGTGTCACCCTCGCAGGTGGAGAAGTGAATTTCATTGAGCGCCCTGCGACATAAACTATGTGGCCACGTACTTTACACGCCTCAGGAATTTTAAAGGGTAAACTGATAAGCTTTTGAGCTCCCGAGGACAGATCTCAATCACAGCAGGCTTAATCCCTTGGTGGTAGATTCAACCATTTAAATGGTGACTTTATACAGCAACGTCAATATACTGGTAATGTCAATAATACGACAACAACTTGCAATCCAATAGAAGCAGCAAGCAGCAAATATGACTGGCCAAAAAAGATGATAAAAATCCTCGATGAAATGTTAAAATGTGCCTTTTTGTTAGAGACGGACTCCAATGCATGAGCTGAAACAACAGCAACAAAATCATATTTAATGTTACTTTTACCACCTAAAAAATACAAATGTAAAGATGTAGCCTTAGCATCTCAGATTTGACATTTTTTTAAAAAAACTGTTACTTTTCAAATAACTCCTCCAAGAAAAAGACATAAAACTATCCATATTTATTTGTGCTCAAACAGAAGAAAATGCCGATTCCTATATAAGGAAAATTCTTCGAAGAAAAGAAGAACTTCGCGGCAGTATAAATTCGTTTGATTTTAAACTATTCTGTCCTAAAATATAACTTATATAACCGCGCTGTTGAAGACAAGCAGTTCCTTGCTCACATTAATAATAGAATCTGACAGTTGTCCACCACGATGCCTTTTCCCGTTAACTCGCAACAACTAAGACACTGGACTATCTTTGTTACATCTCTCACGCCTGTCCTAAACTATTAGTTGACAAGCAGCCTCCAAAGCTACAGTACATTGAATCATTTGTCACTTCTGCACAGGACAGCTCATGAACTCCAAGCCGTGAATAAAAGCGTTAAACTATATAAAATATAGCGTTAAACTGTTAAACTGTGCTGCAGTACACTGGAACAGATCATTTACGTCTCCCTTGGAAACTATGAGCTTTGGCACTCAATGTATCAATTTATTTTATTCACATGTTTAAAAAGAACGAAATACTTAAGCGCACATTATTGTCACAATCTCAGACAAATACAAAAAAAGAAACATTGTGACGTTTGGCTACATTTAATTTGATCAATAGTGACCAATATGGTGGTTTATATGGTAATATGTAAAGTCATACTGTATATAGCTTCACAAAGAACGAAATGAATGAATGCAGTACTACTCACATACTATACATCGTGTGGCGACACATTCACTACAGGAAGAAAGATGCAGGGATTCGATTTACCAGTATAACACACAGGCGGGTCAATATTTACATGCCAACGTTTAACGCCTGAAAAACAGGAATAGTGGGTCGTCAATGGGACGAAGTCATTACAGAGGGAAATTCGAAAAGCCAGAGGCAGGAGAATTTCATGTAGCCTACAGTTTTCTGCATTAGACTCTGCAACACAAAAGCTACTGAAACTGATAACTTTTTGTTATAGGGTTATCATAGTGCTTTTCAGCTTTAAAAACATGCATCACATTTAACATCTGAAACATAAATAACTTAACTACTGTGTGGATACAGACGATGACTAAAAAATCTAATCCAAGCGAAACTGCTGTAGATCGTACTGCATTGCACCGGTAAGCAGTACGTAACAGACAGGCACATTCGCCTAAAAACAACAGCTTTAAAACTGGACAGACAGCACAAGATTATCCTGTTGTAAAAGAAGACTGGGACTGCTTGGCTTTATCGTAACGTGCTTTCTGCCACACACTGTGCGTAAAAGCGATACCATCTGACGTTAAACGATTGACGATTTAGGAACACAAGTTAAACGTCGACCACTAACAAATAAACTTTGGAGTTTGAAAAGGTGACCGCACATTAGCAAGAGTTTTAATTACACCTGGTTTGTCAGTTTGTGCAGTATCTTTACGCTGCCTTCAGGAAAGGTAGTCCTGGACAGGAGCAATTCGGTTGGTCGGAAATGCGAAAAAAAATATTGGCTGTTTTTTCTCTTTTTACACGTATATTGTTTCTTACCTCCGCTGTCATGAAACTCTTCTTAAGTGCTGAGCAGATTGCCCCGTTTTATTTTATTCGAATAGTAGTAAATGACCGGGGCAGTTAGCTTTCCGTCCTTCCTGCGTTTCGTATATCCTGATGTTAGTATCCAGTCTGTTGTTAAGAAGACCTATCGCTGTACAGTACCAGCAGCGAGCCGTAGACCTTTCTGCTTCAAGGAGGCGGGTCTCGGGCTTTTTCAACAGAAGAATCCCTCTAAACATCTGGATTAGTGATTCCCGCAGCGCACGTAGCCTAATGTGTTCACACAGTTACAGTCGTGAAAATGGCTACTATGTTTTTTAAGCAATTGAACTTCCATTGACTATACATAAACTTGATATATTTCTTGAGATTTGAGGGGAATCTGATCGAATGCTGCTTTAACTGTTAATTACAAAATGGTTATGATCTCAGGGGATTCAGAGACATATTTTCGTTCTTCTTGCCTCATACTGCTTTCATCTGGTCACCAAACATTTCTTAGGAGGCTTTTAATTAAATATCGGCAACCGCCTGCCTGAATATAAATTCTTACTTCGGGGGTATTCATTTCATATTTTTCAATATTGATTTTCTCGTATTCCTCTGTCATAAACATGGTATCGTAGGAAGTCACGTTGGGGTCCATCGGCTTCTTTCAAATAGAAAAGAACACTAACAATACACTGATAATGAATTAGTGAGCTAAAACGGACTCTTGTTCAGCTCCTACACTGGGTACTAAAGTTATGACTGTAAGGAACTATTTGTACAGATTTAAAAGCAAATTCATGGGGTTAATTTGAATACAAAGTGGAGAAAACAGGAGTGCATTGCCAGACATATAGTCTGCAGGCTCACTCACTGCACAACCTCACCAGATAACATGCTAATGTGTCACTGAAATGTTATATTGCAGAATATACAGTATGTGAAAGCAGCCAATTTAAAGAACAGACCAGTAGCCATTTACTGCTTTTAGATCAGCCAACAAGCACACTTTTCCTGTACCACTACCCAATAATATACAGCTGGGTCGGATTATGTTCATATCGAACTATATACTGTATTCTGACATTAATTTTCTTTTTTTCAAGGATAAAGATTTATATATTGATTGATGGCAACCTGACTGCTCCATGCTGCTTTGATCTAACCCTAGGACCTCAGTTGCTACCCCATTCTGTGCAGTTCATCCTTACATGACATCTTTCCAGCAGCACATTGTATACTCTCAATTGCTTGATTACCATCAATGATAACCATCAGGTGAAAGTTTGGGGGGGGGGGTTTCACAGCATGGGTCCCCCAAAAGGGACCCTCGGCCAGTGCCAGATTTCCCATTAGGCACTGTAGGCACAGGGCCTATGTTAGGGATTCGGTAAGAGAAACCGAAACCAATGAATGAACCCACTTACAGGAGCTGATAAAGCCTAGCCGTGATCCAAAGAAAGCAGTAGTCGAAGGAACGAGCCGAGAGTCCAGGGGAAGCCAGAGATCCAAAAGGGAACGAGTTACCGAAGCCAAACCGTGATCCGAAACCATAGACGATAGATCAATCCGAGAGTCCAGGGGAAGCCAGAGATCCAAAACAGAGAGTGAGTACCGAAGCCAAGCCGTGATCCGAAAAACCGTAGTCAAAGGGGGAAAAACCGTAATCCGAAAACCAAGAAAGACACAAAGCAGAAGAAGGAGTAGCGCAACTAGGAAGCTCGAAAGGAAAACCAATACTGAGCAACGAGGTAGGGAAGGACAGGTGTTTAAGTAGGATGAGACGGGGGTGTGGTGGTGAATAAGTAAACTGATAGGTAGACTGATGAAGTAAGGCTACGCCTTCTTCTGCCTCTTCCGTTGCCGGGAGGCAGGGATCGTAACAGCCTAGGGCCTACAAAATTATTAGGGCCTACAAAGGAGGGAAACACTAGGGACTAACGAAGAATGAGCCGAAACAACATGCTTGCACTCGATTCTGGGTGCTCCAAATCAATAATCATACGCTACAGTATCTAGCGGCTGTTCTAGAAACAAGAAGTATCGAAGTGATGGTGGTTTAGCATCAGAATAGTTTAAAGTGCATAATGTCAATCGACGTGATTCAATTGCCGTTTACCCCTCTTTTTGCACATTTCGGAGAAAAAGTGCCTAGGGCCTACGAACACCAAACTCTGGCCCTAACCCCACCCACACTGTTCTCAGCAGCTCTGACTTACCCACTAATTCACCTCCCCTGAGGCCCTAGCGCCCAGTCGTGAGGCAGGGCCTCTCAGCAAGCTGGGGGGGGGGTTATGTTTAGGCCCCAGAGGACCACTTGGTTCCCAGTGTGTTATGGTTACCCCTTTCCTGTACCAACCTTTCCCCTGCTTCTCTGCTTCTCCTGGTGAATTTCTTCCAGCAGTGGTCACGCATGTCTGTGGCTTTCACAGCTCAGAACCTGGAGATCAACAGATGCAGTTACCATTGTTTGTAATCTAACTACGAAACACTGTTACAAGTGTTGTTACTTTCAGTCCCTGTTTGTATCATATGTGGACTGTCTCACAGTACTGTATGTATTGCTCAGCTGGTTCCAATTCACTTATGTTTCACTTGTGATGTTTTCCTATGTGCTACAAAAAGCAAGGGTGACAGGGAATAGCCAAAAACAAGCTATTGACTACAAATGAGAGAAAGAAGGGTCAAGACGAGCAGAGCTTTGTATTTTCTGTTTTTTTTTTGGGTTCATACTATGGTTATGATTGGAGTTTTTTACACATCATTGAATATATCTTCCAGTTTCCTAATATCAGATTACACAACTTTTGAGTCTTCAGCAGCGCTGTATAAATGGCTGACCCTGTGCTCTGACCCCAAGCTTCTCTCCCTGTCTGTGTGTCTCATGGAGAGCAAGTTGGGGTATGCGAAAAGACAAAGTCCTAATACAAGAAATTGTATATGGCCAATAAAGTGATCTTATCTTCTTCAGAAACTATTCAAGCACATAAGCGCAATTTCCCTCTTTTGTCTTTTAGCTAGTGCATGTCACAACAAACACTTTTACAAAATTTAATCTGGTATACAGTATACTTCAAATGTCTTTGCATTTTTTAATGAGGATGTCAACAGAAACTTAACATTTGTCTGTAGTTATCTGGTTGAAAGAAGAAGATCCTAGATTGTCAATAACTGGCAGCACTAAGAGCAATATTGAGGTTGGGGAGCTGTAGTTAAGCAGGAATGACCAAATTCATATTACTTTTGGCCATGGTGAATGTCCTATTGATGTCAAGACGAGTGTCTTTTAGAGCAAAGAATTTTACCAGGTGATATAAAAAAAGACATTATAGATAAAATGAAGTTAATTAATGGGTGAGCCAAGAACGTTTGTCTGTATCATCTCATATACAGTATGTACTGTATATGTGGATGTTGATGTTATGATGTGTACAGCATCTGCATGTGTACAGTATGTGTGTAATTCTGTGCATTTGTGCACAGTGTTGAGCTATTTACAGTAGGCTGATGTGTAAAACAACATTGACCCAGTGAAATGAACTTGGTCCATGATAGCTGGTTATCCAGAATTGACCCTGAACACAATGCCACTACCCAGAGTACAACATGGGACTGCTGAAGGCCAGAACAATGAAAAAGAATGTTAAAAATAACACATTCTAATCTGAAATGCCATATCTATGCATGGAAACAGTGTGCATTGTTGCGTTTTCCTTTCAAGAAATTTGAATTAACCCCTTCTAAGGAATTCTATTATTTTCTACCAAAATATGTTTTACTTAGTATTTAATCTTAATCAAGCTACCTGTTATTAACATCACCAGTAGTACCGTGTGTTGTGATAAGCAACAGATTCTCAGAATCTATTATTAATCGTTTTTAAGACTATCGTCCCTCTTTCCTCTTCTTTTTCACTTGGTGTTTTGATGCACAAGCCCTATTAAGGCGTGTCGATGTATTATGGTTACACACTCCCATCTTTCAGATCTGCAGAATAATCGTCTTGCGTACTGAAAAACATCAATTTTTCTCAGCTATTTGGAAACCTATGCTGAAATAATGATTACTGCTAAAAAATAAAAAAAGCATTTATAGAAAAGCAACAAAGCCCATTCAACTCAGATGCTTTCTATCGGTTCCATCTAGTGGTTAACAGAAGTAACTGCGTTCATCGAAATTTCCAAATATTTTGGGGAAAAACTGCGACTGCGTGTCACAAATAGCAAAACGAAGTTCCTTGTTCGATTTTTAAATTAAAACATATCGCTGGTATTTGCATCTCGGTACAATATTGTCATGCCACAGTTGAAAGAACGCGTTGTATTTCAAACACTACTTTGAAATACAATAACGAGAAAGCCTTGTTTTAAAGCTTTGCTTGATTGTCGGGGAACGTATATTATCTAAAGGTACAGCGACGTGGTGTGTGCGTTACATTTTAAACACATTCAGGCAACGCCGTCGTTGGTACCCCTGACCACAAGGCGGCGCTAAGTCAAATCTCTTCTCTCTCTCTCTCGGAGACGAGCAGTCTTTGATCATCAGTTCCCTGAGTGACAGCTAAACAGGAACACAAGCGCCACTGTTGCAAGGGAGTGTCATTGAGAGCGGATAGCGTTGGAGACGCTTGCTGTTGTTTGTCTTCGTGGAATACAACGATGGAGGAATACCATTCCAGTGACGAGGTAGGGGGGGAGTCTAGTGTCTTCACCGATTATTAACGTAGTTAAGTGTTGGTTTTAATAATAAAGCAACTTACAGGAGACTGCGGGCGTTGGAGATGGGGTACTGCCTCTCGTTAGACTGGGTTATTGAAAATGGGTAAAAAATGCGGATTACCAGCTGTCAGTACTTCTGGGAAGAGATTAAGCGTCGTGCACGCTGAATATGTCGTAACTGCGAATTAGTCGGAACCAGCTGGCTGGCTGGCCGTGCTCGCTGGACTGGGAGTCCAGCGCCCGAGGGTGCGGCCAGAGACACGAATAGAGATCCAGACGCAGCACCTCTCGTACTGTACATCGGCCCAAATCCGCTTCCCTCGTTACTGGCCAGGTCGAGTGAGTGAATTTCAAACTTTAGCGAGTCCGGTTTGTCTGTAATCCCCAAGCCTGAACGAAAAGGGCACTACCCTCTAATCTATTTCCAAATAGATTACTTCTTTCTTCATTTTGATTTGGTAGCGTATTCAAGTTAGAAACTCCTCTGCATTTAATTTAGATTCAGGTAGATAAACATTCTCTTCTGAGTTGCGGTAAACTTCACTATGAGTTGAAAGTAGCTCTGAAATCTAGTTCACTGTGCTTTTGTAAAATCAATGTAGTCTGTATTTGTACAATACATTAAAAACTCTTCGAAATCACCGAAGTTGACTCCTGTAATTATTTAGACATGCACTTCACTTGCTTTCTGTGTTGTTGAAATGAGCAACTGCTGATTCTTTATTTTTACAGGTCCCCTTTAATGCAGATGAAGCAAGCAGCTGCGTGAAAGAGGTACTGTCATTGTTAATTTTGTCATTTTCATCAGTATGCAGGGATATTAGGTTGCCAAAGCTATCGGAACCTTTGAAATGCAAAACATCATGTAAAAAAAAAACATTTGAATCCTTTTGAAATAGCAGTGTGAAGAAGGTGGAATGCTAAGTACATACAATTCGATTTGTTGCTTTCCTAGTGTTTAGTTTAAGCACAATACAGTGCAAGTCTGAGCAGTCTGGTACCCTTAGATGTCTGTCTCAGTCACCTTTGCTGTGTGTAGCTTGAAGCGAAGTGGATTATAAAGACCAAAGCTCCTTAGGGTAATTCTGCTCTTGCTGTACTTTGGAGCTCTACTGGTCTACAAAGAATTCTCTGAACGTTCTGGATCCTAACTCATCTGGGATCCTTTGACTTAAATGCAGCCCTGAGAGTTCTGACAGAATCTTCTCTTTCTTGCAGTGTATTGAAGGTATCATTGGTGGAGTAGATTACAATCAGAACAAGGTGAATCAGTGGACAGCCAGTATTGTTGAGCACTCCCTCACTCAGCTTGTCAAGCAAGGAAAACCATTCAAGTACATAGGTATGTGCTTGTGCATTTTTGGTCCTAGCCAGCTTGGTGTACTGTAGTGTATCATAAATATAAGACAATTTCTTAAATAAATTGTGATCTATTTCTCTATATAATTTTTAGGAAAGCTTAAGTGTATAGTATGAAACAATGATTGACCAACGCGGTCTCACTAATGGTCCCTTTTGCACCAGATACAATGCACTTCATACGTTTTAGGACAGTGAAGTCAAAATCTCTACTTTTGCTTCATACTTCATACAATTCAAATTTGAAATAAGAAGATTAGTATGAGATAAAAGTATAGAAGATCACCTTTTATTTCTGGGTTTTTCTGTGCTTATTTTTTATTCCATTTTAGAAGAATAACACTTTTGGTATTCTTAACTGCCATTTAGTAGTTTTGACACTATACTGTGAATACTTATGGATGGCACTGTACAGTTCTACGTTCTCAACTCCAACAAAGTTTGTGAGTGTGCCGTAGTTTGCAAGTGGATCAATCAAAAAGGTATTTTCTAATAAATTGATTCAGGTACTGTATAGATAGGATTTATGTCAATGCAAAACACAATTTATAATTATTTGGGGGGAAAAATATAGTAAATTAATGTCATGACTGTGCTAAATTAGATTTTCCAAACGGAATATCTGAGTTTTCTGGATAATGTGTAATAAGAGATGAAACCCTGTACATGACTGAAGTGTTATTCCTATTTCCCCATTGTTGGTCATTTTCAATGCTTTTCCTAAACTGCAGTCAACTGTGCTGTGATGCAGAAGAGTGGAGCTGGACTACACACAGCCAATTCCTGTTACTGGGACACAGCTACTGATGGTGAGAACTGACAGGTTGTCCAATGCTGCGTCTTTATCTTCCTGCTCCAGGACACACTTGTTTCTAATAATACCGCATCATTTCAAGTCAAAGTTGGAAAATAATTGATGAAGAAAACACCCAGTATAAATAATAGTGAGCTTGTCCAGTCATTATCTTGTGAGTTAGTGCTCAATGCCGTGAGAAGTTTTATTTTAAGCATCATTATAAAACTGTCTTATTTGTTACTGATTGTATTCTTGCATATGTATTCTAAAGTTAGTGAGTGAAAGCCTTATGTCAGTGAAACTCAGCTTGGGTTGAAAGGTACCGATGGCCTGTTTAAAGATTATTGTCCCGTGCATTCTTAACCACATCTATAGTGTGTAGTGGAGACACAGAAGGTGGTACAGCCGAGAGAAGTGACCATTCTGCTTCTGCGCGTGTCGGTTTCAAGCCTAGTGAGCCATGCTCCTTCCTTCAGGCCTGCTTCACTTCCTGTCCTGTGTTTTCTGCAGGGAGCTGCACGGTGAGATGGGAGAATCGCACCATGTATTGTGTGGTCAGTGTCTTTGCTGTTGCTGTGACCCTCTAGCCAGGTGACTCAGAAGGCTGGACAAACAGACCTGCACACGGACTCACATGGGAACCGCCAAAGCCTTGAAGATCCAATGCTGTTTTATGATGTGAAATGTGTGTAATGCTGGTATTACTGGTTAGCTGGTAATAATGAACTCTCGACTACCCACAGTTCAGAAATCACACACGTCCAGGAGGAATGATAAGGTTTCCTTGTTGCGTACAGGCCTTTTAAAACTATGGTTAACCTTCATGCTTTGATATTTTTCAATTATTATTGCTATTGTTTTGTAAAGACCAGATTGGTGTAGTGTGTGGTGGTATTTGAATAATTTCTGTTTCCTGGAGGGAAACAAGAAACATTCTGATTTGAATAATCACTTACAATAAGATTGTCCTTTGTCAGTAATGCTTTTAGGCTCAATTAGTTTCAGTCCCGCTGTAGAAAAGCTCAGCTTTTTTAAAGTGTCTATACTGTATACAAGGAAGAACAGCATGCAGTTTCTTAAATCTCTTGCGTTTTTTTTGGATAAAACAGAATTCAGAACCCTCTTTTGGTCAGAGGCACTGTGTTACTGTGCTTAATTTTGCTTTTGTTGTATTGGATCTATACTGAAAGCTTCTTTCCTTTTTGGTGCCTGAAATGAGAAGGAGATTTCAGCTAGTTCAGGTTAAGTTCAAGAAGGGAGCAGCATCAGCATACTTAGGCTACAAAGCAACGGGTAAAGGAACAAGTAAAGGTTTATTCCATGCTGAAACAAAAAGAGACATGTTTGAGAAGGCTTCACAGCTGAAACGTTGTCTCTTTTCAGCCTGGAATAAACCTTTACTTGTTCCTTTCCAAGTTTAAGGTTGAGATTGTCAAAGTATAAAGAAAGCAACCAGATGTAAAATCTTAATGATCTTAAGTCTTAAATACCTAAAATGTCAATATTACATGTATTTCATGTATTACTTTATTCTCTAACACATTCTTATTGCTGAATGCAGTGGGGTTGTATAGGCAGTTATCAAGTTTTAGCCACCCCGACTATAACAAGTTAATAAGCAAGCCTAATTGATATCCAAATTAGCAGAAGCAGTCTAGCATTGAACCCTCCTTTTTACATCCAGCCTCCTCAGCAGTTTTGTGTAAATAACTCCTGTTGGCGCAGTGGTAGATTTACATAATTCTTCAGTGTAGTAGACTGCAACTATATTGTGAGCACAAAACAATTAGTAATTAAACAAAACAGTAATTTGCCTCGGTGTGATAAGTAGGCACTGCACACAAGCTTGGGATTGTATTCCAAACGGCAAAGGCTTAACACTGTTCTGAACATTTTTTTCTTTTCAGTGGATATCAGTTCTGGTCCTGAGGTACCACTATGTATACTGGTTTTTGCTTCTGCTCAGCTCTCAATCTCAAGTGCGCCTTTGATGCCTTTAATAGGTCTGCTTTCTTGTTTAGTCTTTTGTTAAACCTTGATTCTGCTCTCAGTCTTAAGTTTCACGAACACTCCAGTTAAAGGTATTTGTGGTGTGCACCATTTCCAAAAGCCTCAGCATAAATTAAAACAGCCTTTCTTCAATTTGCATTCCCTTGTTTCTGAATTAATGGCTTTAAAGAAGCAATCAATTTATGTTGAACAGACAAAGCTGGGAATGACAATGTATCGGACAGTCCCACAATTATTTTCCTTCAGCTGAGATGTAGCTCATTGTAATTCAGTGAGCCTACCTGAATGGGGGCAGTTCTGAACCCCAGAAATTTGTGCAGGGTTGGTACCAATCACAGATAGCATTAGACCTTTTGAGGAATGAAATCAAATTTTCATTGAGATCAATGAGCCTTGTGCACTTGGCTGGAGCGAAACCAGGTCCGCTGGCCAGGGTTGTGAACCACGTCTTTACAAATGGTTCTTTAATGTGCAACACATTTCTAAGACTATTGCTCAGTGAACGGGTGCTGCAAAAAGCATAAAGGCGGCTTTAACATTTTAAAGCAAAGTGCGTTTTTACGTTTGTCCGTTAGATGGCGCTCGAAGGTAAAACTCGTGATGAGTACAGTTCATTCCCAGGAAGACACGCTTCCCGAGCTGTAACGAGCCGTGCTGTATACTGCTTTTTGAACTGCCGAGTGGACACGTCTTTACTGCTTAAGAGCTCAGTTTTCAATTTGAGGGAAATAGAAGAATAAATAGGAATGTTGTGATTAAATTATTAGTATTTTTTGTTTATTGTTAAGTATTTTATTTTTCCTGTCCAAAAAGTTGTCTTATAAAGACTAGATCTTTACTGTGATTAGGTCAAAGCTATTAAACAAGCTTCAGTCCACCTACCCGTCACAAAGCCCAAGCCCTGTACTTGACTGCGGTCTTGATTTGTTGTGTTTGGGGGTCTTGGTAAGCCTTAGGCAAAGAGAAACACATTTTCGATTGGGAGGGCTGAGACAAGTTTAGGCCTTCTGGTCTGGTCATACTATATTTCTTTGTCATTTTCTGTGCAGTATTGCTATAACATGATTTGAAGTTCATCAATGAATTGTGACTTAAATCAACAGGAAACAGTACCCTTTAAGTGAAAAGGCAAAACTTTCTTAGTGTTTACCAATGCTAAGAAAAGAGGTAAATATTTTTTTGCTCCTGTAACTTTTTTTTAGTATTGTTTCTTAATTTCAGACTTTATTTGTTTAGACATACAGTACAGTTATTGGAGTTTCCTAACTGGTGTGTTATATACCTTTTGCATACAGGAGCAATTTGACTGGTTAGAATTTGCAATTAAATGTTTGTGAGTCTAAATAATTTTGTTTATGCCACTTAATGGTTTGAGTTATTCATTAAAGGGCTAGAATTGTGATCACTAACACAGGGGGTATTCTATCAGTGAAGCACTTATTTTATTCTAAATAAATGTCAGAACGTGTCTGTAGAATGAAGTCAAACAAGAGGAGCACTAATTATTCACAAATAGTGTGAATGAGAACTGACTTTGCTGAATTAAACTACAGTTGAACCAACTGTGGACTTCTCCTCCAACTGTCGGCCCAGGTTGCATAAGACACCTTAAGCATTTCTTAAAAATACTTCTCCCTTTAAATAGGGTACTGACTTGGGGTCATTAAACAAGTTTTCGCAACATCCTTGAGCTCAAGGAATACCTAAGAGGAAAAGTGCGTGGAAATGTCAGCTCCAGGGCTTTCATGCAATGGGCCAGTGGTGTCCTTATTTTGAAGGGATGGCAGTGCTGTCTATTACTTGAACACTTAACAGAGATTGATAGTAGTCTATAGCTTCAAAATGTAAGAAAGTAAAAACCCAGTGCCACTACCAGCTCTCGCATTATGACACTTGAGAAGGTATTGTAAATAGCCTAGTAAGAGCATGCCTTGACTATTGGAAATGGGAGTATTGTCGTATTCAGATCAGCACGAGCTGTTGTGTTTCCAGGCTTGGGAGGACGTGGATGAAGAGAAGCTGGCTGGGTCACGCCATGCCTCACACTCTTGTATTGTGCGCCATCTCATTCCACACCTGAGTGGGCTGTTGTGCATGATTGCATGCTTTTGTAAGATATAGAGCGAAGCTGTAAATAAACATTAACTCATAAAAAAAGGCTTTCTGTTGTTTGGAGTGAGTTATATTCCATGAAAATGACGACTTGTGTTTTATGTTTGCTTTTGAATTCAATGGAGGGCTGTGGGAGGGATCTCTGATCTTAAAATGTTTGCGTTTAAGAGCATTTTAAATCATTGAAAGCTTGAATTTCAAAACAATTTAAAAGTCATAGTTTACCTGGGGTTGGAAAATGCTCTTTTCTAAGCAGACTAGTATAGAGATTTATAAGACGACAATTTCATGGGTTGAGGTTTGGTTGGCGAGGAAGTAAAATTGAATTTGTACACTATGTTCTTTGTAGTTATCCTGAATGAAGACAATGAAGACTAGCCTGAAACTATTTTGTTTTCTTTTTAAAATATCTGTTAAACATTAGCTCCACTTATGTAAGATGTATGAAAGCTGGAAGTTTCAATATTTTTGAATGCTTACCTAGAAACCTGTTTTGTGTGACTAAATCTGTTGCAATTTCATGCTTCGCCGTTAAACTGTTATGACTGATTTCAGTATTCTTCACACATTTCTGTTAATTCTCTGAAATGTTATTTTTGTAATATAACCACAGCTGGTTTTATTTTGTGGTGCAAAGAACATACATGTACCCCACCAACACTACAGTATAGCTTGCTTTCATGATGGTGAATAGCCAGAGTCTTACACTAAGGTGCAGTCCTATAATGATTCATACAGGGTGTCACTGCCACTATACCAGTGGTGTTAACCTTCTTAAAATGGAAACTACAGTGGAAACCAACACATACAGGTTTTGTGAATTATTTTATATCCATTCCTCAACTTGTGGAGGTCAGTGACCATTTGCTTGCAGTGCTTAAAGAGCTCTCTGACCATAAGGATGAAGATGTACTGTATGCAATTACTCAACGTTGCCCATTCAATACCTCCTTTTATACATCTGGGAAACTGGAAACCTTCGGAGACTTCCTTTACACTTCTGATGAGCAGAATGTTATTGCAGGTTTTTGTTGATTTTTTACAAAGAATGCTTAAGGGTGTGAATAAATGCAATTCACTTATTTTCCTGACTTCAATAACTTATGACGCATACAGTATGATTCTTTGAACAGCTGTTGTGACTACAGTTAAAAGGTATTAGAATTTATTAAGCAAGACATTAGTTGTCAAACTTAAACTCATTCAGCTATATGATGGTTTTTATTTGATCAGGGAATATTAATAACCTTGGACAGCGCTGTATAATCTAACTACAGCAACTTTAAAAGTGACAACAATACCTCCTGATGAGGTACCTAAATTACAAGAACATCGGTAAGTGGTTCAGTAAGTGCAGTTAGAATACTTTCAAAATAATTACTAAATTAAAGCTTTGTGAGTCAGTACAGAAAAAAGAGCCTTTGAAAGGAATTTACTAGTAACCCAGGAATGATCACTTCCATAATTACAAATGAAGGGCTTAGAAAGCGCCAGAAGAGTTTGCATTCTTCAGCACATTTTACAGTTTTGGCACTTGTAGGACTACTCAATGTTCTTCTATAAGAAAATCTTATGAAACTATTTCCAGAATTAAAAGTTGCAACAAAATTGTCCCTGCTAAGTCAACTAGATAACTACCTACGTTATCTTTCAAAGCTTCAATTTAATATTAATTGAAGTCAAGGGCTCAATTTAAAAGTTAAGATAAGCACCTGAAATGGAAGGCTAATCACTGATGATCAGCAATACATAAATATATTACATTTCATCCACGAATATAATCCAGTCTCAAGCAATGCTGACAATATCCCGTGTACTGTATATGCATCCCAAAACCACATGCAACTTCAAAGCCATCCTTCAGTCATACATTTGGAAATTGTGATTGCTAGATGTGTTGATGTTTTGGTTTAATCCAAAATTAAACAATATAAGAGATGTATAAATTGCACTTGTTCTGTGTTGAAATAAAACACATATTACATAAATAAATGAATGCTATGTTAACTCAAGCATAGAATAGCCAGACATAACCTGTTGTTCTAGCATTGTTCAGTTTAAAGTAAAAATACTTGAAAATAGCATAAATGTCACCGCTTGTTTGTTTTGAAATATTTTTTGTTATGCATTTTGTTGACAGTATATTTGTTTAAACAATTTGTATCTTTCCTTTTAAAGGAAAAGATGAATGTCCAGTAAAAGCATGTTATTATAGCCCGTCACTTTCAATAACCAATTTCAGTATCCAATTCAGGCCATGGTGGCCAGGAGCCAATCCAAGGAAGCAAAAGGCATAGTACACCCTAGACAGGACACTAGTCCATGGCAGGGCACATAGAGACTCAAACATGCACTTACTCAGGCCATTTTTCTGGAAAGCAATCGAACTACCAGCATCTCTTTGGAGGCAGGATTTCCTGTTTACTAGGCAAGGATAACTAAGCCAGAGTGCCAGCCTGCTTAGTTGATTAAAGCGTCTTTGGACTGTGTGAGGAAACCAGAGCACCCGGAGGAAACTCATGTGAACACAGGGAGATCATGCAATCTCCACACAGATAGCACCCCAGGAATTCAAACCAGAGCCCTAGCTCTGCAAGGCAGCAACGCTAACCTCCCAACACATATTAAATGTGCAGCAAAATTCATCTATCATCAGGAAGCTCATTTTACTTATTCCTTGCAAGGGCTGCAGAAGTGTAGGGTGTGAGGCAGCACTACACTCAGGGCTAACCAGAGAAAAAGTCCTTTAAGAAAATACAGTAGTGATTATTTTTGTCACAACATTGGTGAGCACTAGGAGGCAGCAGTTAGTCCTTTTGAAATTAAGAAAGGATTTCTGTACATTATTTAAAAAAGCCTGCTGTTGTCGAAATTATGAGACTACACAACAATATCCAGTTTTGTATTGACTCTTTTGGGTTCTGTGTCATATGTTATTTGCACATTTAGGTTCTCAATTTTGTTTTTTGATATTTCCTCTTGTATGCAGGGCTTCCACCCATCAGCATCATGTGAGCCTCAGCTTGTAAACATGTGACAAGCAGAAGCTAAGAAGGGGCATGATTAGTTCATATTGTCTGGACAACGCCTAACTCTCAAACTGTTGAATTATTGTTCTGTAAAATGTAATGAAAGTATCTGTGCTGTTGAGCACCACAAAAAAGGATAAAAATGTGTTTCAAAAACTAATAATTGTAATATGATTTGTTCGTAAAAAGTAATTTTACATGTAGTTGCTTGCCCGTACTTTTGCTGAGGTCATACTGACTAATGATGTTCAATTAGCCACTAATGCTTTTCAGGAACCATGAAATAGAAATGCAATAGTTCCGCTTGAAAAACTGCACCAAGAAGTGATGCACAGTATTATGAATATGAGCAGTTTTATATAGAAGTATGTGTACTTAAATGTATTTGAATTTAAAGTGACTATTTTTTTATTAAATAATGGAAAAATGCAAAATGTTCTGTAAGAATAAACTGTAATATTTTTGAAAGACTTTAAAAAGGCCAGTTTAGCACACCATTACAACATTAGAACATAATATTAGAAGCACAATCAGGGGAATAATGTAGAAAACCCTAACCCCAACCCTAACTAATGTTAATAAATAATTTTCATTTTAACTCTAATATCTAACTCTTATCTTAACCTCAATTACTAATAGTAATCGCTAAACCCATCCCCAACCTCAACCCTAACCTCAATCACTATTACTAATCCCTGGCCCTTACCCTAACTCTAACTTTAACCTCAATTACTAAGGCTTGGGGATGTTAAAAGAATTAAAATATGTTACTTTAGTAAAAGTACTTTTACTTCCAAAAATACAGTACGTACAGTAACTTAGCAAAAGTACAAAATGTTAATCTCTTAGTGATTCTATATTATTAAAAAGTAAAAAGGTGACATCTCTTCTGTTGTTACTTTGACTATTTTGCTGCTTATTTTTATTAATTGCAATACTGATTACAATTAATTCATTTTTGGGTACCGATGTTACCAAACCAAAAAGTGAGACAATCAAAAAGTGAGTATTTTAAGACACTTTCCTTAAATGACTTACAGAAATATGCAAAAAGAGTTCAGTTCTATCTACCTTGAAATAGCTGATTTTCCTGTGAAAAAAGCATGTCCGTTTTATAAAAAGAGGCCTTTTTATAAATGGTGTTACAACATTTGTCCCATCTTGTGTTTGAGTCTGTGACCAGTCCAAAGTACTTGCAGTCATTGCGAAAAAGACAAATTCCTAATGCAAGAAATTCTATATGGCTAATAAAGTGATCTTATCTCATTGACCATGTCTGCTGTCTGATCAGTAATTAGAGTAGGTTGGAGTGGTGTTGCATTTTACATTTAACTTCAAAGAGAACTCATCACAGCACGGAATGGGACCATGATGCCATAATGATTTTCTGGGTCCTTTAATAAGCTGACCAGGGCTGTGCCATCCGCAAACATATTGAGATGTCTGTGTACAGTATTTACAAATGCTATTGTACGAAATGTACAGTAGGGAGTGATATACACAGTCCTGTGGTGAACTGTGTAGCTAATGTCAGATAACCATGTCCTCTGTTTGACTTGTTGAGACCTGTGTTAAGAGGTCTAGAACCTATCTTATCAATTTACTGTTTGAATTTTAGTTCTTTGAGAGTTTCTGTGCAAGCAACAGTGGTTGTTTGTATGGCAGTTTTTGGAATGGGAATAGTATAGTTGATTTCATTTCTTACTCTCTGTGTTATATGGACGTGCACTTTTCCTTATATTAATTATTCTAACTGCTTACACCTCTGCTGTGTCAATTTTAATAAACTCCAGAGGTGGTTGTGGGGTTTAATTCAAAACCCATTTAAAACAAATCTACATCAGTTGAAGCTATTTCAATATAGCTAGCTATTTAAATTAAATGTAACAGTCAGCTAAATAAATAGAATACACATACCTTCATGTTCCTTTAAATTTGATGTTGAGTTGATGTAGGCTGAGACTTTCACCGCCTGCACTTACTTATATACTGTACAGGGGGTCCATGTATATTACAGACTGTGCACATAAAAATTCCCCAATTTTACATGAACTCCACCCTAGAGACTGTAAACAGAATGATTACAGTAATCATTCTGTTTACACACACAAATGTGAATGCATGCTGCTGTAAACCTGTGTTGTTATGTCCTGGTTCCTATTAATGTTGAAATACATTGACTTTTTTGGTGGGATATATCACACTTGAGCCTACGGGGAATACTTTCGACCTCCTGGCTCCCATTAATCCAATTTCCTTTATTTCCTATCGGAAATAATTTGCCGTTTAACATAATGTTTAACAACATGTTTTACAGTTCCCCTTATGGATTTTAAACATGGACCCTGTGTATTACTTTTTAGCTGTCTAGTTGTGTTGCGGAATGGTTATTTGAAAAAGCAGCACAGTCTGTGGTTGGGCTTCAGAATAGTGGAGTACAGTATGTCACGAAAGTAAGCAGACACTTTCCGCATGCACTTGCACCTCTGCTTTATCCAGTCAGAACCCGAGCCTGTGTAAATGCCAGTATCCCAGATGTAAAGAGAAAAAAGATGCTTCTGGTACATGTAGTGGAGTAAAGGTATCTTCTTTTCTAAACCAACGTACTTGAGTAAAAGTTAAAGTATCCAGAAAACTAAATACTTACGTAAAATACAGATCTCTGAAAAATGTACTTAATTAATATAGCAAGGTACTGTAGTTCAATTATTTTACTTCACACCCCTGCTAATACTCATCCCTAATGCCAAGTCTAACCTTAACCTCAATGACTAATACTCATTCGTAACCCCATCTTCAGCTCTTAGCCTTAACTTTATTTAGCTTTAACCTCAATCCAAGGCCTTAATTTAATTTAGCCTTAATCATAATCCCTAATAATCATTCCTAACCACAGCCCTGACTCTAACCTCAACCTCAATTAATAATACTCCTTCCTAACCCCAACTTCAGCTCTAGCTTTAACATTTAACCTCAATCATTAAATCACATCTCTGACCAGATCCTCACAAGTTCTAGCAGTGAACACTTCAGTGTCTAGGGGAGGAGGGTACAAAACTAAACTGAAAGGAGAAAAAAATGACATTTAAGCTAAGGGGGCTATACAGCCAAACATTGCATTTTCTCTTTTCACTTTTCAGCATGGAAATCTTGTTACTTGAAGGCTCATACAGTGATGTAGTCTTCCACTCAGATTTCAGTTACTAGTACAGTATTATTAGAAACAATTTATATATCCGAAAACAATGCTTTCTTTGTAATACTACAGTATATTTATACTGTTTCTGACAGCAGAGTTCAGTAATCTACATTTGTTTTATGAATATGGTCTCTTAAAAAGCAGAGCAGTCTGTTTTGTTAAATGTTAATGCATAGAATTACATGAAAGTTCAGTAAGACTTTTAAAGTTTATCTTGTCCCCTTAATGAAGCCGTTAGTCTTTGCTATGGAAGACAGTTGTCAGGGGTTAGTTCTTGCATGCATTTCAGAAATAATTTCTCAACTACCGTTTTACAGAATTTCAGTTTTGATGAAATATCACCTTTCCTAAATGTGCATGCATGCCTTCATACCTCATTGGGTTCTGATGGATTTATTGTCAGTACTTTGCCCTGGATAGTTGCATAAAGTCAGGCTTGTGTAAGTGAATATTCAGTCTTCAGAACTGGGTTACAGTGTGCCTGCAGAAGGTTACAGTGCATGTAAGATGAAATGCTCGTTACAAAGTAAACAAATTGATTAATTATAGTGGTATTTCTCTTGATTATCCATAAATCTGCTGTAAGAGGAATGGTGGTCTAAAAGCTTAGATGATATTACATTCAGCTGTCCTAGCAGATGCCTGTTAATTTTGTGCTGTTTTTGGAGAAATATGGCACTATGCAGTGAAAAGCACAGCCTTGATTTGAGCAGCTCTTTCATCAAACCTTGGTTTCATGTTGAATTAAAAGAAGGCTCCACACCCGATGAAAGTTCCACAGCTTAAACGTTGTTTCTTTTCTTCTCTTTTCAGCCTTGAATAAACCTTTACTTGTTCCTTTGCTTCCTATTGAATTATGTGCCGTGTAAGGATTCTTCTTTTGTCAAAAAAATACTGATACTTCAGAATCTTCCAATATAGTGCTTTTCAGTTCAGGTTGCACTGAGTGATTTTCGTTGCAAGTGGTTTTGGAATGATGTCTTTAATTTTCAGTCAGTTGTTTTCACTCAAACAGGGATCTCTTTAAGATGGGGTTTCTGCACTCTTACACTCTTATACTAGAGTGTGAAGATAGATACATAATTGATCCCATGAGGGAAATTGCAGAAAATGCTACAGACTATGTAAACTCTTTTTTCAAGAGTCAGAAACAGAGGGCAGATCTCTTTAACTTTTTGAAGACATGGGAAAAATCATAACTGAAGTATCCTTATATTTAGAAATAAGAGCAATTCACTTATTCTTAGGTTGAATTTTTATGAAATAATTCAAAACCCTGCCATAAATCCTATAGCTTAAATAACAATAGTGAAGGGGAGTTTGGAAGCATTGGTATTACTTGCGTAAATGAAAGGGTCAGTAGAGGGAAAATATGCATACAAATCTTAACACTAGAATTGATTTATTGTAAATTCTCAATCTCATGAGGCAAAGAGGGAAGTGGAAGTGCAGCGCATGTGTGGTAAAATCAATATGCGCTGTTAGTCATTTAACCACTAACATCCCCATTTACTTTAGAAATTTCTGTTTTGACTGGGCAGTTTTTAAAAGAAGAAAAAAGAAAACGGAACAATTATTTTGAAATCTAAGTCCCTTTCATGAGCGGCATGCTTCAGAAAAAATTAGAAGTAGGGGCTGGTTAATGTGGCAAGCTGTTTCTTCACACGTTTGTGCAAGGTCCCTCTTATGAAATACAGTGAAGAAGAGTGTACTGTATGGTGGAGATCACAGAGGTGCTTAGGCCTACTTCTTGCCATAATACAATCCTCTAAAAATAAAGTTCACTTAAATAATATCCTTGAATGCAATATGTTTTACACATGATCAGTTTCCTCCATTTTGTAGTGGACAGCTACTCGTGTGTCTATTATGCCTTTCACTGCTTTAATACAAACTGCAAAGCAAGTTAATTTTTTTATAAATTGCCCAATGACAACGAGGTTTCATAACAAAACCTAAAGGCTTCATTAATCAAATGCACATTAAAAGTCTTACCTAAAAGCTTTGAAATCTAAACAGACAGATCATAGCAGAGAATGTCAGCACCAAACCTATTGATCGGATCAGAGCTGAACCAATGACTAATATACAGTATAGCGGATGATCATATTGGTATTAATGAATGAGTGAGATTTCAAGAATCAGTTGAAGTATTTTATTAAAACACTTTAAGGAAAATCTATGCACAAAATGAAAGGCCTTTGCGTGCGTATTTGAGCTGAGAGGCAGGAAGTGTTACCAGTATAATAAGTACCTAAGATAAATTTCCACGGCTTGAGGATGTACTCCTGAAAGAGTTCTTTGAACAGCAACAGCAATAATGGACACACACAAAGAATGCAATATGATGTACAGTAGTTACAATGCTTTAAGGCTTTTAAACAAGGTTCCTTATAATATAATTATTTCTTAGACTGCAGGCAGGAAATTGGATTGAGAACTATAAAAATGACAGAAAACGGAGAGCAAAGAAACTAAAAGTTCCAAGTGAGTTGCGGTAATTAGTAGCGTACTACAAGGATCTGGACAACGACTTTTAATATCTAACAATGGTCTAGATTCAAGTATGATTAGTATACCACAATCTAGATCAGGCTGGAGCAAACACGGAAGTTTTTGCTGGTATTGTATTACTCTGGAGAAAAGCAACCAAATACATTCCCCATCTTCAAGAAATATCCTACGGCGTTAGGCTAAAAGAACATAGCCTACTTATTCTTAAACAGAGAAGAATAAAGGGAGCCTGATTTAAATATTCTAAATCCTTAAGTGTAATAACAAATTCAACCCAAAGGACTGATTTGGAGTAAGCAGAAGAATTGTCAATGAAAGACAAACAAGTGGATACTATTGGCAACTGTGGGAAGTTTCTTTCCAAACTCAGAACACTGTACAGTAGGTGGCACCTTTTATACGAAGAAGTGTGCCAATATGACACAGCTACCAAGTAATGTCATTGAAGCTGATTCCCTGGCTTCTTTCAAGAAATGCCTTCTTATGTTCTTATGAGTTTTGAATGAATAATGAATTCTATAATAAACAGTGCAGAACAATATCAGGATACTAATGTATACATGTTTGGATGTAAGATTTAAGATAATATCTTCCTGGTGTAATTAACCCAATTTTTTTTTCTCTCTTGGATCAAAGAAAAATGTTTTTATGAAATCTTTCATCATGCACATTAGTTTTAATTAGCAGGTCATAAACCTTTGATCTGTGCTTTGATCTTAAGGTGCCGAATTTGAAATACAGTATGTCGGGTGGAAGTAGATAGAGAGGTGAGCAAGAATGGCAATCATTAGCAGAATTCAGCTGTGTCACGGGCAGTATGACAAGCTTTCTTTAGACCAAAATAAAAGCAGCTTTATATCTAATGCAGCAGAAGCACCATCACATCAATAATTATCTGCGGGATGGACAGATGCAGTGTTAATTACAAATGAAAGAAAACATAATACTGATATCGGAAACAAAAATAAGCTTTATCCTTTATCTTATAGCATATTTAGATGATAGATGATTAAAATGCTTTAAAAGGGGAGTTAGCCAAAAATAAATTCAACCTCTGGAATACAAACAACTTATCCTAAACACCCTACTGTATCAGTGTACTTATCAGAATGCTTGATGTTTTAGACAGATTTTTTATTTTCCTGATACAGGCTGACTCTTTACATATAGGTAATGAATGCTCTGTTAGTTCTTTGAATGGAGTTCATTTTATATCCCAGTGCAAAACCCCTATAAATCCAGTATATTTAAACCAGCATCTATCTTTAATGTTATGTCACATAAACAATGAATGAAATTTGATAATGACAGAATTATGTATAAGTATATGTATTTAGAACCAAAATTCACGTATTTTGCTCTATTAGGTACTTAGTATCTTCATGACAATGAATGTGTTTATTCAGGGTTTATTGTGAATTTTGTTTTTAACCATGAAATGTCTTTCTTTTAGCTCTTAGTTAACATCTTACTTTGATTTATGTCATGAGATGCAAACACTAATACTGAGAAAGAAGTAACTTGTTGTTTCTATCACTGCAGAATAAATTGGATTTGTATGCTGTATAAGTATTCAGTCTTTGTATGCCCAGTTTAACTAAAGATTAGCATATCTCAAACTCCTTTTAATACAGTATTCAGCGTTACCATGCAGCAGTTGACAACAAACACTGCTGTCAGATTTCGCCTGCAGAGGCAGCTGGAGTACTTCCTCCTGGTTCAGGTGGGGTCTAGAAGTTCTCCTTGTTGAATATGAAGTGAACTCCTCGTGGGTCTGCATCAGAGTGGGTGTTGCAGTTCTTTCCCAGAGATTTGGCGAGACTCTCCGGACCACACAGAAACAATCCGACTCTAGTACTAGGAAATAACAGAGTATGGGGCTGCTCAGACAGTGAAACACATTGAATGAAACATTTCTACGAGTGTCCATAGTTATTTCTCCACTACAATTTATGTTTTGCTTAGAGCTGGACAAGAGAGGATTGACTTCATCATTGATCTCTATACACAAAGTCCTAATTTTTTTTGCTTCAGATGGATTTATGTTGTTTTACATCTCCTTAGTGTTTTATGAAACAAAGTTTAAGATTGCCAAAGGCAAAAGAGTTCACACTTACAATTACACTACTACACATAATTGTTATTTTATTTACTATCTGTTTAATAGTTAAAGTATTTTTATGCTTAATAGTTACAGTTTTTGGTAGTTTTCGTTTTTTAAAATGTTTAGAGACGTTTTGAAAAACATAGAAAATTTAGAAGTTTATTATGGTACCCTGGGTGATTGCTTGCGATGGTCTTAAATTCATTGTCCCAATTCGGTCTCCCATAAAGAGTTTTTTGCTTCAGTCCTGTTATAGGATCATTCTCCTCTTCATGATGAACAGTAAAATGGGTTGCCTTTAAAAGGGAATAAAATCAGATGAGCCAACAGAGTGGGTGATTGCGCTCAAAACAAATAATCCTAGAAAATAGCCTAGAAATATGAGAGTTGTGTGAAACAGTATTATTTAGATAATTTAATCCAGTCTCTGGAAGTTACACAGCCTTATTTGTTTCTCTTGTATTCAAATTAATATCACAGAGACATTTTACCGTAGAATGGAGGGAAAACATGAACATTTGAAGAAAGCAGTGTGAACAAAATACAGCAACAGAGAACGCCTCCTTTCTTTTTCAGTTAGATGTTTTACCCAGCACCAAGATGTTTTCCTAAATTCTGCCTTTTGCCACTAGCTCTACAACCTGTAATCTCCAGACATCCATGAATTGTTTAAATCAGTGAACCCCCAGCTCAACAATTTAGTGATCAGATGAACTTAATTGTTACATTAGGTCATGTGCTTCAGTCCTTCATCACAGAATTTGATTTTGTCACTCATTTTTTCCATAGTCCTTTTTTAATGCAAAGTTACTCCACCGTGCTATTAAGCACCTAACGACGCAATATATTGTTATGCATTCTCATGTCAAATGTGGATTCTTATTGGAGTTGATGAAGTGCAAGCATTTGGATATCTGCCTCTGAACAAATGGCGCAGACTATCTATTTGCAAACAGAGAACAAAGACTACCACTGGGGTTCCTGAGCTACTTTACATTCACTTTAACTGTCATAATGAGCTTTCCGATTATCAAGTCAAGAAAAGAGGGGATAGATATTCCCAGGGTCTCCAATGGAGTGGATCGAAGGGCCCACAGCTTGGGTAGCTGAGGAACAATTGGCAGTTTTGTCTCTCTATGCCATAACACACAAATAACACGCAACCTGACACCTCTCCAGAATGGGTGTGCTTGGGTTAGGAGTTTATCTAACAAAAAACACTGTTTTTTTTCAAAACAAACTTTTTGTTGAAACTTTCACTTTTTGTACTGAGGTTAATGAGAAATTGATTTAATGGCTTGTGGGACATTTTTTTCTGTTCAGCTAATTTCATCTGTGTGAGGCTGCACTGGACAAGGGGAAAAAGGAAAAGGGGATTTTTTATGGATGAGGAAATACATACAGTATTTCAATAAAATTAAGTGAATAAAGGACCCTTTTTGTGTAAGCAGGAGGATGCAAAGGTCAGATCTTTGGGTTTCTTTCATAGTGTGGAATATAACAGAACACTATGGAGTGAAAATGTTTACCTCAGCCTCATTCCAACTAGTCAGGTAGATGTTGTAGCTGAGAAAGTCAGCATTTCCTCTCTCCAGCATCTGACTCTCCAGGGACTGCAGCAGATCAGCAAACCACTCGAAGGCCTGGGTCTCTCTGCAGAGCCAGTAGAAATAGATCTAAAACGTTGAGAGAAAAAAAAAGAATAACTTAAAAAGAGTAAATTAAATTAATTGATCTGATAATACAGACTTCTGAACAACAGCTGGTGAGAAAAACAAGAGTATGGAGAGCAATTAAGTGTTTTTGTATTTTAGAAACGAAATGATTAATGGTCCTTAAATCATTAAATGAATATTTAAAGCAGGTACTGTATCTTTAAAAAGAGCCATTCATTGACCGAGTGGGACATCTCTGTCTGCATCTTATCTCTTAACAAGAGGAGTGACTAAGGATACAGGGTTTTCAGCTCACCTTTTTAGTCACTAAGTTGGTGTTGTTGTGGGAATATCTGTACCAAACCGACTTGAGGATGGAGGCAAAGGGTGTTACACCAATGCCGGCCCCTACCAGCATGACCACTTCATAGCGGAAGACATCCTCACTGGCTGTACCAAAAGGCCCATCAATAGCGATCCTGTGGGATAGAGCACATAATACTCGTGTACTGTATAATCATAGCAGAACCACCCAGCTGCTTAATGCCATTTTCCATTCCTAAACACCCACGCGACTTGATATAAATCCCCTTGAGATGATGTGTCGTGACCAGTATGCAAATCACAGTCAAGATTTTTATTCAGTCCAAAACCTCAACCTGTGCTATATTTCAGATCGTTTCAAAATGGCTTTAGAGACTCAGGCTGCCAAAATGTACTGCGGTGTCTCAGAAAGTGTTACCGGCTGGCACAAGCCAAATCGTTCAAGATGCTAAGATATCATCTACAGATTCTGGTTTAATACAAATTTAATCCGGGGATTTCGGATCTAAAATGTTAAAAGAAGTCAACATTAAAAAAAAACGTACAGGGATAGACAGATGGAGCAAGAAAGTGTGAACAATGTCTACTACAGTATTTCAGTTCCTTTATGTTTCCAGTCATTGAAACCTCTTTAGATCCTCTTGCACTCTTCCACTTCCTTCTACTGTATGCTCTCCCCCCTCAGTGTCAGTACAGAATCTGACTGTGAATGCTATACCTCCCTCCACCCACCTTTTACTGTGGTCAGTATCTCATTCACATTGTCTCCTGCTTCAATGCTTTGTGCCCTGAACATTTTTCATTTTCTGAGGACAAAGAGTTACAAGAAGGCATTTGTGGTTCGCAGTCTACATAAAGAAGGTGGCACGGTCCACTGTTAGGAAAAGTTGCCTTGCAGCGCTTGGGCCTTTGGTTCAATCTAGGGGTGTTATCCACATGGAGTTTGTGTGGGTTTCCTCCCGCAGTTCCAAAGACATGCTGGTAGGTTAAAAGACTTCTGGGAAAATTGGCCCTGCTGTGAGTGTGTTTGTGTGCCTTGCGATGGACTGGTGTCCCGTCCAGGGTGTATTCTGCTTTATGCCTGTTGCTTGCTGGGATAGGCTCTGGCTCCCCCATTACCCTCCCTGAATTGGCTGAAGCTGTTATAAAATGGATGGCTGGATCGACATAAAGAAGCATTAATTATTCTCCTGAGATAGAAAGTGGTACAGCTTAGCCACATGTCTTCTATTCTCATTGTTGTTGTGTACTTACTTTGGCAGCTTCCAGGCTTCCTGAAACTCTTTCTTGTCACAACCACAAGCCTCAAATAATTTCTGTGTCCAGTCACCCACGATTCGGATGTGGACACTGAAGTGATCTTCTTCTGGAGCAGATGTCAGTGTAAACGGATGCCACTCCAGTTGGGAGATGGATGGGCACTTCATGAACACATACTGACCAACTTCCATCTTGAAACCCTTCTTCTTCAACTGTAGCTCTATTGTTTTGGAAGGGTGTGTAACCACCTGCAAGAGGTGAATGGAAGTAGTTGAGAATAAATGTTTGCAATGCATCCAGAATGATCAAATAATCTACTGGCAATTTATTTTTGTGATTCAAGGTGGATGGATTGAGTGCATATTTATTTTCTCTAAGGGTGCAATGCAACATTTTAATAATGTTACATAGCATGAAACTATGGTTCACAATGTAGATTGTTTGTTTGCCATACATACACTGCTGCAAAGGAAAAAGTAATAGGTTTATTCCATGCTGAAAAGAGAAGAAAGAAAACACAATGTTTCGGCCGTGGAGCCTTCTTCAGGTGCATACAGTACTGTTCCTAATTTAATAGAAGGCACTAGTGTTCTGAAATATGTTTGTGCATGTAAAGATATCTATTTTCAAAACTTATTTGCAATATTAAAATCTGCAAAATTTGCAAAATATTTTAGGAAAGTTCTGCTCAATCTGTTCTGATACTGTTTTGATAGTATTGTCCACAGCCCTGAGAGAGAAATGGGGATATTAGGCATCTTTGCCTAAAGACGAATTCCAATAATAATAATTGCTTACACTTATATAGCGCTTTTCTGGACACTCCACTCAAAGCGCTTTACAGGTAATGGGGTCTCCCCTCCACCACCACCAATGTGCAGCATCCACCTGGATGATGCGACGGCAGCCATAGTGCACCAGAACGCTCACCACACATCAGCTATCAGTGGGGAGAAGAGCAGAGTAATGAAGCCAATTCATAGATGGGGATTATTAGGAGGCCATGATTGGTAAGGGCCAATGGGAAATTTGGCCAGGACGCTGGGGTTACACCCCTACTCTTTTCGAGAGACACCCTGGGATTTTTAATGACCACAGAGAGTCAGGACCTCGGTTTTACGTCTCATCCAAAGGACGGCACCTTTTTACAGTATAGTGTCCCCATCACTATACTGGGGCATTAGGACCCACGTGGACCACAGGGTGAGCGCCCCCTGCTGGCCCCACTAACACCTCTTCTAGCAGCAACCTTAGTTTTTCCCAGGAGGTCTCCCATCCAGGTACTGACCAGGCTCACACCTGCTTAGCTTCAGTGGGCTGCCAGTTGTGAGTTGCAGGGTGATATAGCTGCTGATAATACTTCAAATAGTACCATTTCTCTTTGAAACAGGGAGGGCAAAAGGTTGCTATGTACTTTCTTTGATACATGGTAAAATCATAACAAGAAGTGACAAACAGGACAAACCTTTGTAACAACAACTTTCTGTTGTGATCTCCAGAATCGCACTAGTCTTTCACACAGGTATAAAAACATAGGTCCGACCACCCACATCCAAGTCTGAAATGAAAGGTTTAATTTTAGTATAATACTGAAATAAAAAAGTGTTGAAATAAACATTTTTTTTTCACTTTACTGTAGTTATAATTTATACAAAGTCGTTTGTTGCATGGTAGAGCAGTGGTTAGTACTGCTGCCTTGTAGAGCTAAGGCTCTGGGTTCAATTCCTGGGATGCTATCTTTGTGTAGTTTGTACAGTATGTTTTCCTTGTCTTCGTATGATGTTTCCTCTGGTTGGTTAATTCGATTCTGGGAAAATTGGCCCAGGTGTGTGTGTTTTGGTCTGTGTGAGTCCTGCTCTGCTCTGGCTTCCCATCCTGTGTGTATCTTTCCTCTGAGCCTGTTGCTTGGCAGGTTATTCTCTGGCTCCCCCAATAAAGTATGAACTGTCTAAAGTCATACAGTATATAGAAAGTCATGTATAGGCAAACTCACCATTGGAGGATTTCCTGCAAAGTCTGGCACAGGACACTCTGTATTGTTCTTTCCCCATGTTTGATACTGGCTGATACACTGTTTAGGATCATGAACTTTGATACTTTCTGCAGTCTGGCCACGCACAATTCGTCTAGAGAATTCCAAAACAATAGGGATTGACAGTTCAATTCTATCCCAGGTGAATTCCATCTGATTGCAGAATTTTCAGTAGAATCACTCATCTATTACAGAATCAGCTACACACAGTGTGTGAGGAACACTTATTTTAAAGCCAAACTGCAATAATAATAATACATTTCGTAACACATTAGTAATATAAAGTATCTAACTGATTTGTGGGAGAGATGGAATTGTGTGGAAAATTCTGCATCCCCCAGGGAGCGTAAATTACATTAATTACATTTAGGAAAAATATCCAGCATGACTAGATGGCTAAAGAGTAGGGTTTTGAGCTCTGCTCCCATGATCTACTGTCCAAAATCAGAATGTGCTGCAGGAGCAACGATCCTTGTGATTAAAATATTTAGGAATTTCCAATTTGTGCATATCTGTTTAGTCTTGAGGTGTTTGAATACATACCCAATTCCATGTATCACTATCCCAATGTAAAAGACGACAAAAAGGTGATGAGTATACCAGAAGACTTCAAAGTAAGACCTCCGGATGACTTCCATGGATGAAGTAATCATCAAAATCAGAGCCAAGGTACTGGCCACACCTGAGAGACCAGCTAAGTATGTGAATGCCACTTCTGTTGGGTTCTATAGAAGATACACACACAAAAAAAACTCCCAAAGTGTGATAACTGGAAAAAAATGTGAATCTTTTTTTCCCTCTTCAGTTTCATTGAATAATAGCAAAGTTCCCTGAATGGCTCGTCATCATTGATCGTTGTAGTCAATGAACATTAACAATCACATTAGTTTGTTACAGTAGGTCTTCCCACTTTCTTCTCTTAGGATGGAAGTTTGTATTTTAAAAGATTATTTACTTCGTTTATCCCCGATGACACGGAGATGAGACAGGTACTTTATGGACCTCCGCTTGTTTTGGCATGAAAGTCTGCCCAAACCTCAACGAAATATTTTTTCTAGCTCCAGGTGTAAACGATTCAAGGAAATTAGCTAACCAATTAAAACAGAAATAAGACTCCACATGTTTGTAAAAATAAATGTGTAGGAATTTACAAGTAAAAATACACTCAAAACATCTTGAGGTGGGAAAGATAAAATAGAACAAGGAACCAGATTCTATTGTTTTCTTTTTTGTGTATGATGATTCATTTCTTTAAAGTGAAATTGTTTTACAGTACATTACTATCAGCCTGTGGTTGACCTTTTATTGCATAATGGCTACAGAACTGTACAGTACAAAGTCTGACTCACCTAAAGTGCATTAGATATAGCAGGGTGCTGTAATTAAAACATGCTTTGTAAGTTATTGACGGCAGTGTGATACTGTATACTATAGTAAAAAAGGATTACGTACTGTTTGGTTGGTTCGGATCGGATTCAGATAGGACCTGTTGTCTCCATTTCCAATTTGTGACAACACATAAGGAAGACTTGTGGTGTTGTCTAACTGGGCATCCATGAACCACTCGAAGTTGAATAAATGAGCTATTATATGGACAGCTGAAGAAAATATAAAATGGAAATGTGTCATAAATTTCAGATTTTTACATTTCTATATACCTGTACATTTTATTGCCTTTGTTAATCTAAGTTAAATTTAAATGAATTTCCACTGACATAAAATATTATTGTACCATGTTGCAGAAACACTCAATAATTCCAGATACTTCTGTTTTATTAAATATGCTGAAGTATGTCTTAATCATAGTAAAATTAAACTTAAAAACTGGATGCCTAGCTCTAAACTTATAGTTTAATTATCTACAGTTAGACATGCAAAATGCATAACTAACAATGTGATTTTTAAGAAACCAAATATTAAGCAATGCAGTGATAGCACGGCAAACTTGAATGAAAAATTTACATCCACGGTGAACTGTTTATTAATTAGGTTAAAGAAAGAATTTTTAAATGAATCTCTTATTGGAGCATGGAGATTGAGAACAATAGATAAATCACATACACTACATCAATATACGTAAGATCGAGTGATCCTCACCAGTGTGAAATGCAATCATGTAGGCAACCAGTTTGTGAAAGGTGATATTACCGTCCAGTTGCCTTGTGACATTACGACTAAAGCACTTAAAGAAATAGAAAAAATAATCATTATGGGATATTTGCCATTTCATTCAGTTATTTGCATTTTCTAAAACGGGTCATTTTCAAACCGGTATGTGTGCACTCACGTATGGAGCCCACCCTCAAACCTGAAAGAGCGTAACCATCCTTTTTTCAGACTCTGCAAACAGGGTTCTGAATCCCATTTACTAAACGATACAGTGACATTTTTATTGTACAAGTACTGTATGTTTTTAGTATTTTATAAGAGCACAGTAATATAAGCAATTCCATACATCCACTCTTTAATGAAAACGTTTTGGCTGCGGGAAATTAGTCTTGCAGTCAGTTGGAATTTGTGCATGCATTTAAAGTACAGTAATTTCTTGAATTTGTGCAGGTACTGTATAGAACTTACACCTTACCAAACTGTATTTGTGCATGCATTTAAACTTTCTTGAATATACTCATGCACTGTACAACACACATACCTTCCCAAACTGATTTTTCTCCAACTAGTTAAAATAAGTGACAGTTTAATATCTTAACATGGTAACTTAAAGAAGGTCCAAGTGTACAAGTGCTGTTGCACTGGGTGTAGCCCTCTGTGGAACAAACAAAGGACCCAGGGTGTATCATGGAAATTTCAGTAATCCATTAAACATTTTTGCTTTCAGATCTTCAGCATGTTTACTTTATAAATTTTACAGTACAGCTTCCTATAGATTCTGCATGTTGCAAGCCTATGACTTCCCCAAAGACCCTTGGGAAAATGAGCAGAAACAGTTGCAACATGTCCACAGCTATCACTTAAAAAAATACAGCTTTTATTTTTTTCCTCAAGGGACTTGCTTTGATGGCTCTGGAGAAGGGGAAGAATGATATATACAGTAACCTTAATGTGTATTTAGTTGTTAGCCCTCACCCCCTGGAAAATAACTTAATGCTGATAAATTGATATCTCTCAGGACTGTCTGAAATTGTTCAAAGTCGAGGGAGTGGGCACCTTCCTTTATATCATAAGGTTCTAGGAGGAGTCGGAAACGTGAGAAGTCTATGAGGAGCCACTAACATGGTAAGTCATCCTTACTATCACATGGTAGAATGTCTAAATGATAATTCTTAATCGTAAAACCTGTGAGAACCCAGCGTAAGTAGAATATAAAAGCTAATGACAATACTGGAAGGAGAACTAGGCAGGAGAGCTGTGTAAGTGGGGCTCGCAAGCTGAAGAACTACAGTAAACCTTTGTGAGCACCAAAATGAAAATGCAATAGTAAACATGATTTGAATGAAATGAAACGAACGACAAATTTGATTTAAAGCAAATGCATGTCCGGTTCCTCCTTTTTCTTTCAAACAATAGCATTTAGCAAATAAAGGGGTGGATTCTCTCCTAGATACTGTATGGAGGAAGAAAACAAAATGAGGAAGTGGTTTAACAAAGACAAAAGTAATCTTCTCCCATTTTATCCCCACACATTTTAAATAAAGAAGTGAGACTCTCATCAGTAGGACTTTCCCATTTTCAAAAGTTTCCTTTTATGTTTTTTTTTAAATTTGAATTACAGTTACATTTTTTATAGCAGGAGAAATGGCCCTGCTCTACCATGTCTGAATTCTTTCCCAAATCTAACCAAGCTTCTTACCTGGCAGGATCCTCGGAGAAAGGAAAGTAAATTTCGGCAGACTGGCAGGAGAATGAGCATGCAGTTAAAATTAAGGCAGGCAGCTGGGGCTCTGGCCCAGGACAAGGCATGCTGGAGGCAAACAAGACAAGAGCTTACTTTCATTTCCTTTAAATACTCATAACAGACACACAGCAGACACCTGTCCTGACACCTGCCTGTTGCCTCTCCAGACCCAGAAATAACTCATATCTAAAATAAAATCAACAGCATCTTCAATACTTTACTTGTGGATCCTTGAATAATTCAAGGATTACATTGAATTATTTTCTTAATTGAACCTTAATTCAATACTTGCAAATAGGAACTTTTATTCAGAAGACTGGAGTTTTAGCCAAGAGACTAAGTTGAAATGATCTAGTTTTAAGGCAATGTTTTATGTTTTACTTCAGAACAAAATGAAAAAAAAAAGATTTCTTAATATAATGAAGGACACCTGTCATTAAATTAAGGCTATAATATTGTATGTCTCATGGGTCACTGAAACAGTGCGTACTGTAAATGTGAATTCAAACCTAGTACTATCACTATAACTGATAAAAAAATGTACTATCACTGTCTCTCACATTATTTCTGTTCTACCCGAAAGAATAAACTACTTACTTATCAAAATAAATATATATAGATTATTGTTATTCTGACAGATACTCTTCTATGTCCAAAAATAATTCTGATAATGACACTAATGGTACAAGCATGACTGAATCTTAAATCTAAGACTAGAAGGATGAAATATTTTAAAATTACCAAATTAATGGCTACTCACCCCGAGAAGAACTCTAGTGTAGAAAAATCTGTCACTGAGGTAAACAATATAGAAATGCACAAAGAGATAAGCATTGATCCCAAGCCATACCAGCTGAAAGAAATAAAATTTATAGAATTAAAATGAAAGAATTGTCTATGTTTAAGGTAAGGTTGCAAAACGTAAGCTGTATATATCAGAAAACACTTACAATGACAAAGATGGAAAGCCCCTCGTTCACAACCCAGTTACCCATTTTGAAAAGAAAAGAAAATGAGACCCGTAAGAGTTGCAGCTGGAGATATAATAGTCCAAAGAAGGAAGTGAGAATTCAGCTCTGGTGCAACACCTCTGTGCTTCTATTCAGCAGACAGGAGTTTATATTGTGCTTTCTTCCTCCTCTGCTTTCATTTATGAATATTTTCAGAAAATGAAATAACAGACTTTCTCCTAGTACTCGCCTGAAATGCACAGAAAACATAATGCATGCATGTTTAGGGTTCTACTTTATCAAGACTGGTGTTTGCATAACTGCCTGCAAAGTTAGTCACTCCAGTTTTAGAGTTGTATCTCCATTGTCAGGTATAAAGTATTGCAGTTATATTGTTGGTACTTGTGATAAGCTATTATTTTCTTTATATTTTTATTCCATCCTGTACAGGAAACAAAATCTGAGAATAAGTCAATGAATTACCAGGTGATTAAAAAAATGATTAAACTGAGTTTGTTATACATTTTGTGAAGCTTTAGATGTTATTTTTCTTAGAGCTATTATTCTGCATCCATGGTCTTCAATGGAAAGCAAATGGAATTCTGACTTTTATAAATTAACAAATGCATACACGAAAAGTGACCTAAACTTCTGTTCATTCATGAAAAAAAACAGATAAATTGATATATGTGATCTAGTAGAGTCAAAGAGTACAATATATTTAATAGAAGAGTTTCTTTGGGGGTAAATTCTCTTTTTAAATAGGAATGAACTTTTACTTTCAAAAGAATGCAGAGAACTAATATTTATTGTTTATTTTCTCTATGATCTCTATTCTTTATGAAAAGACTCTGGATGCTATAAATGATATACTGCACTATATACTGTAATATGTACAGTATTAAACCAATAATTTTGAAATGTCCATATCACACATAATGTATACAGAAGTTAAAGCAGAAGACATTACATAGACAAATATGGAAGTCTTAACTGTGATATGAATCTTCTTTTCTTAGTTTGCAAGGGCCAGTTGAGACTTCAGGATTAAAGCCCAATCCTTGTACAGAATGTACTGTACAAACTCTTTCAAGAGCTCTTTGATCTTGAAAAGAGCATTAGAGATTTGATAACACATCAGAATCATCAGGGCTCATGCTATAAAATGGCCAGAAAATTCTGGGAAAGATTGCACAGACTGCATTTCTCAATTGCGGTTTCATATTCATTTGCAGGTTTAAATTAAGGGCATAAAATAGAGAAGTATGAAAATTAAGGCAAAGCTCCAACCTACACTGCTAAATAACAGATATAGCCTTACACCTTGTACAAATCTTGCTGACCCTAAAGGAAGCATCTGATAAAACATTAGAGATCTAAGACAATTTATTCATGACCCTGTTCCACTTTATCTGCAAACTGCTTCCTACAGTCAAGACAAGTGCAACAGATTGCTTAACATAGTCTTTCACAATTAAATTTTCACCAATTAAATTTGCTGACAGGCCAGAGTACATTTAATACTTCATGTCGTATTCCAAAAAGTGATTATTATTTGCTCTCTACTGAAATTCCAGATGGGGCAGCAGTTTAGAAAAATATCCATGGAGCCTACACTACTCAAAACATCACGAGAACGTATATTAAATTTACAAATTTAACCTCTGCGTTCCAATCCAGGATCATAGCTTTACACTCAGTTTCCAATGTGCCGCTATTTTAGATAAAGTATTTTTTCAATCCAGTATGAGAAGCTGTTATCTTTTGATCTGAATTTGTTTCTCTGAAAAATGAGCCTCTACTCAGAAAGAACAAAACATCTGCAAAAGGGTTTCTAAGTCATACATTAAAAGTTTCTATATGAAGCATGAACTATCTCCTACAGTCTGGACATTATCAGTCTAAATCCCTAGTACAATAAGTGACATTGGTCCCCAAGAAAACCATGCAAATGTGAAAGATGGAGGAGAGAACTTGGACATGGGACATCTGTGGGGTTACATAGAGCTTTGTGACTGAGCCACTGCCTTCAATATCATGTAGTGGGTAAGATATCAATCTGTTATACTGTATCTGTTAGGAAACAGATCCATGAGCAAAATCTCTATTTACAGCTGCTCTTGTAGAGACAAATTAACTGTCTTTTACCCGCCAGTTGGAACAGTTACTACCCAGAAAACTATCTCCAAAACTGAAAGTATTATAGCACGTTGGAGCCACTGCAGATCGGTAGGTGGTAAGTTTTCTGCAGCTAAACATTACTTGTTTACTTGAATTCCTTCTAAAGGTATACAGTAGTACATTTCTTAAGATGGACAAGGGTAAGAAGTCCATATTTGATAATCTTCCATCTTTTCTGGCCTGACCTTCTCTGACTAACGACATCCAGAAATGTCATCTTCTGCTATTTGTCTAGGTCTAGAGAACTCAGTTCTTTCTCCTGCAAGTGAAAGGTTTGCACCAAATTATTCAATATAAGTCTCTTACTCTGGCATCAGTTTGCACCAAATGTTGCAACTATGCCTGTCCTCCGGTTAACACTCGATCTGAGAGTGAAAATAAGTGTATGATGTAGAGGAGCATGTTTCATGTATTAATTGTTTGGCAGACACTTTTATCCAGAGCGATTTACAGTGCAGAAAATCCCAGTCAACATGCAAAGGATAATATAAAACCATGTACCATCAAACAGCAACAAAATCACCAACAACAGTAAGAGCAGAATTAAGTGCCATCATGTTGCACAGTGCTAGGGAGTTTTAGTGCTTCTTTACAGACAGGAAGACAATAGTGAGATAGGTGCATATTCAATGGGGATTAGTCATATCAAGAGTGGAGTTTATAGTTTTTTCTAGAAGCAAGTGAGTCCTGAGGTAGGTCATTCCACCAATGGGGTGAAGTTCATAAGAATGGTGTCATACACGTAGATCTGTGTTTCTGTGTAGATAAGGAAAGTCAAACAATCCAAACCGTCTAAGATTTTGCTGGCAGTGTATAATTAAAATGTTTGTGATATTTTAAGGAAAAAAATACAAACATGGGTACAGGAATGTTTTACCTCAAAATATTGTTATTTCTATTATCTTCATTAGCACAATGTAGGTAGAAAGGCTTGCATATGAATTAATGTTATTATGAAAACCATGGTCTATCCATTGTTATCATGTCTTATTTTTGTTGGGTTTGTTCCTTTTAATGCCAGGTTTTCGTATACTGCAGCATTCTATATACAGTAACATAATACAGTGTATTGTGTAATTTATCTGTGTTTTATTTAATTCTATATCAGATACGACTGATACTGAGACCATTATTTTCGGCTTTAGCACTGGAAAAAGAATATGGAACACAATCAAAAACCAGGACATCTTCATCATGTATAGTTTATTATACATCTTTACAATAATTAAGGCAAACTTTGAGCAAGAACTGCTGAAACATATGTAAATTATCTTCTAAATACTCCATGAAACCATATAGCTGTATATACAAAATATTGAACAAATTAACTGCCTGGCACAATACATTGTAGCATATTGAGATATACTATTATACTGTAGTACAAATAGTTTTACATACAGTAAAAGTGTTGTAGTATTAGGTATAAGGGTGACACCATACAGAGCAGTGAATAAACATATTTTAGTCCCACAATGTAATATTTTATTTCAAATCCAACTTTGAAATAAACAAACTGTGTCATGGAATGACTTTATAAACCTGTGTCATGATATTTTGTAAATGAGGTTTCAGTTTCTTTAGACCACAAATGTAATGAAAGACCATAGGCCTTTTTTGTCCTCATTGTGCCACAACTGTAAAATGGTGGAAATGTGGTGGAAATGATCTATCTTTAGTACCTGTACATATTTTGTTATCCAGTACCATTTGCCAGTAGAGGTCAGCAAAGCAACATCAAGAAACAAAATCACTGAGAATGACATATTTCATGACTGCTGTTTACTTGAGTGGTTTAAGCTGTGTGGCATCACTTCCTGTTACTTCCTGTTGATTTCTCATTTCCACTGCTCTCATGTAATATCACACACAAGTGATCGTTCACTGTTCTTTCTGACAGAATTTTTATTCACCGTGGTCATTGTTTACTCTTGAATAAAGGACTAAGGGAATTTAGCCTTCAGTGAGCATTAAAACAGCTTGGTGAAAATTATTATAAGAAAATGAAGAAGCATCATCCCTGCAGAACACTAAATCACTTCACCACGCCATTTTTGTAGTATGATGATAATAGAGAAACATACTGAAATCAGGAATATAGAAAACTGGATAGTCAGCAAGTAAAACAACATACAAAAAACAACACTCTTAGGAGAACAAATTAATAATAACCTGTTTTTCATTCAATGTTGTACAGTATATAATGTAATACATAAGGAAGGCAGTTGCCCTACAGTATAAATAATTTCTCATACTTTCAGGAATGCTTCAAAAGACATTATAAACACTAAGGATGAAATATCCGTTTTAATAACAAGCAGAAGTTTATCCCATTTCTAAAGACATAAATAACACTTTTCAAGAGTTTTTATATTTAAAAATCTTTTTATTTTTTTCTGGTCTAATGAGGACATAAAATAATTTTTATCAAAATAATAATACTCCATAATTTTCATTTTTCTACTTTAAATAATTTACAGCATAAATCATTATAATCTAAATCTTTGTTATGTGATAGAAAATAAATTTTAGCTCAACAACCTTCATTACAATATAAATAATAAATAAATATATACTGTATAAATTAAATACTAAAATAAGCATTTCTACAGTTCTTGCAAATTATATCTCCTGGAAAATATAGAATTCATGCTGAAAAATGTTTCAGTTTTTATTGTAGGCATTGGGAATATTTTTCTTGTAATTAATGCAGGATACTTTACATTACATTATGTACATTACGTGTCTGTTTTACCATTATTCTAAATACTCATTATGTATAATGATTGGCTCAGAAATTTACTAAGGTAGGTTCAGTGCACATACTACACACAATGAGTTGTAGAATTCTGTTGCTTAAGGAATGACCTTCACAGGACAAGTAACTTGACTAATGATTTATTACTTAAAACATCTCAAATTATTAACATCTCCAGCAGAATAGCAAATCGCCTTTGTTTCTAATTTAGCCTGTGTATTACATTATACATCCTGTAATACAGGGCTTGAGAATAATATACAGTATTATACTTAAAGGAATTCATTGCATCCATACTCTGTATGGTCTGACCATACAGTATATAGCCATCATTTTCTGTAGTTTTAGAAAATGAAAATGTATTTTGATTTCTGGAAAAAAAGTTTGCAAAACAGTGGAATTTAAATTACTTTTCAGGAGCATCTGTTTTTGAACACTGATAAATAAATATGGCATCAAACTATGGCTGGCAACACCACAAGATTAAAAACATTGTATTTAACACTATGGCAGGTATTAAACCAGCTGACCTGAGAAGATTTCTCAATTGCATATGTAAATTAAGATAGAAGAAAGCTGAAATGGTATTGTCATATGTAACTTTACTGGCAAACAACAGATAGATTTACATATTTAATTTGTGCCTCTGTTCATGGAATTTCTTGCAGATTTCATGACCAAAAAGTCTCAAAAAATATACTTATGATTTCTCATAATTATTTTAGTGGTTTAACTTAATGCCTACAAAGCACCTAAATCTTGCTGGTCTTTCACATAAACAGATTACCACAGAGAGAGATGTGGAAAAAAAAATGGCTCTAAATTATGCCAACTGGCATTCACATCATTGTGAAACACACATGAGAGAAAACAAGCTAAAAAAGGAGATTACACAAAGGTGAGGAAAAAAACATCAAATGGACAAGGACTCCACCACACCAACACCAATGGCAATTCTGTAAACATCAGTGTAAAACTGAAGAGTTATTATGCAATTCTGTAATGAAATGAAGCAAGAGAAATGAGTTTGACTACTCATCCATGGATTAGTCTATGTACTGTACTTGCAAGACTTCCAGGGCTCTTTTTCTGCCTTTTTAACTTTGCCAGTTTTAAGGCTGACAAGGCCCACAATGACTCATCAATGAGTGCACATCAATGATGTTTAAGCCTGCAAAGAAAATTGGTCTCACAGACTATTAAATGCATGCTCATGTGTTGTTAATAACATGCTGTTATTATTATGAACTATAAAATTGTTTTCAAAGTTCCCCATTTCAGCATAATTTTCCCCAAACATCATAATGCAGAACACAAGACTTTGTGAATTTGTGACTTCTGTTATGTGTACACTGGCTCTCACGTATTTTGATTAGAGAGAGGAATATAGTCGAGATACACTGTTAATCATATTAACTTTTCTTATTTTGTGTTCAATGTACCAATCAAAATAGATATTAATCAATTAATCCCGAGAATGACTAAATTATATATTGTTAATAGAGTAAAAATGTGACTGAATTACAGGAAATGTGCAAAATTAAAAATATTAAGGTTTTAAAGACTTAATTCTATACCACATGCTTTTAAGTCAACCCCACACTGCTGTTTCACCATTGTGTTAACTGAGTTGGCCCTTAACTGCTGAAATGGGTTTAAGATCAGTATAAGATTTGCAATTCATAACACCATTATATCTGCATGACAGCACAATTGTGTAGTGGTTAACATTGTTGCCTCGTAATACTGGGGCTCTAGGATCACTTCCTGGGGTGCTACCTGTGTGGAGTTTGTATGCTCTCCCAGTGTTCATGTGGGTTTCCTCCAGGTGCTCTGGTTTCTTCCCACAGAACAAAGATATACAGTACTGGTAGATTAATTGGCGTCTGGGGAAAGTGGTCCTGGTGCGAGTGTGTGCCTGTTTGTGCCCTTAGATGAACTGGTTTCCCGTCTAGGGTGTACACTGCCTTGCACCCATTGCTTGCTGGGACAGGCTCTGGCTTCCCTGGGATCCTGAATTGGATAAAGATGTTAGAAAATGGATGGGGGGATGGACTTACAGTATATCTTCATTGTTGTTAGAACTTTTCAGACCTCAAGCAGGGATATCCTCCATGGTTGTCTTATGTTGTTAAGGGTTGCTGGACAGAGTTTGGCTGCTTTTCCCATTCATTGCCTCAGTCATGGTATCATTGGCCACGTCTTTGTCAGTCATACTGGGTGGCTCCAGTGCCTTCCTATCAGTAGATTCTTCTTCCTTTCGTGGTTTACAAAGCAAGCACAGAAAGTTTGAGCATGCCCATAGTCCTTGAGAAATGCTAGAAGAGAACAACTTTTTGCAGGGGTGACAAAACTGGTAGAACACCAGCATGAAAAAGATGCCAATGGAGTACCCAATCAGAAGCTGCAAGACCAGCAGAGGGGCGCATATATACCTATAGAACTCTGTCTGGTAAACGTACCACAATAAAATGAGCGTGGCGTTTTCCACAAACCTCAGCATGTAATACACCGCCATCCTATACCAGTTCTGTGACTTATTGATCAAGTCGGGGTCGTTGAGTTTCAGCTGCACCGCCGACCAGCAGAACATGTTGATCCCGGCGTAGAGAAAGGTGAGAAGGCACAGAACAATGGTGGTGCCCACTCTAGTCAAGGTCTTCTCAATGTTCTCTGGGAAAGGAGACTTGCTCTGCCAGAAGAGAATCCAGGGATAGAAGAAGAAGACAAAGAAGTTGAGCAGCACCACGGGCAGGATCCATATCTGAAGCACGGAGCTGAAGAGGACAAGGACAACCACTCGCGTGGCAATCTCAAAACTCCTCCAGAGGAATATACACAGGTATGCTGCTGGCTTCACGTCTACCTCGTAGTCATCATACTTGATCTTTATGGCAAGAATGTTGCAGCGGAGGGCACCGTACACTATTGACAGCAGAGATATCACCATCAACGTCCCTGGAAGAAAGAAAACGAATTAAGATGAAAACACCACACCTTGTTTGCGAACAGGCTCAGTTACATGATATTCTATAGTCCAAAAAAGATGGACTAATTCCTTTTATATTTCAATCATTTGTGGACTTCTACAGTAATAAAAAACTCATACTCACTGTACCTTCAAGCAATCTTATTAAACATCAAAAAATGTTACTGAAAAACTAAGGGTCCCATGCTGTTTATTCCTGTATCCTTGCAGTTTTGCTACAGAACCTTTATTTCTACTTTATTGCTTGAAAGAATGATCTTTAAAAGATCTTCACCTACTGTACTTCTTTTCATCAGCTGTACAAAGTATGAGCTGAAATCACAGCTAATGTAGGCGTTGTGAGGACTGCTAATTAACTGTAGGTGTTAAGAGCCAATCCAACACAATGACTTGTGAACTAGTTTATAGCAGCTGGCAGAGCAGGAGCTGGAATAGGCCCAACATCAAAGCAGTGCAAATGGCACACATTAAACATTGTGGCTGCTTAGAAATAAATACTCATTAAAATTTAAAGATCACTTTTTGGTGGTGAAAGCGTGCAGACAGGAACCTTTGACTTTGGACTATATTAGAAATATTACTTTTCCTTCACAGAACCATATCAATGGAATTCATTAATCTGTTTTCATTTGAACACAGCATTCAAATTGAAACAACAAAAGGTACTGTATCTACATGCTGAATTTCACACTGATGAAGCTGAGCTAATTTTAGTTTGTGGGTGGCACAGAATAATTCTGAAAGTACAAAATCCATTAGTCATTCAAATCCATCAGTCATTTCAAATCCCATCTGTTGACCATATTCTTTTAAACTATTATTATGCACTAAACACATCGTTATACTGCTTTAATAATACGAGAGGACTCGAAGTTTCAAAGTGATACATCTTCCGTTGTATTTCCATGATACATCCCTGCCACTTCTTTCTAAACAACCCATTCTTGATGTAATACACTTCTTACTGGATTCCCTGCTTCGGTAATCTGTCTTTTCCAACTGTTGCAATCTGCTGCTCCCTCTGTATTCTCTCTGCGTCTTTTTCCTGGTACAACTCCTTTACTTCAGACTATCCAATGACTCCTGTCTCTGCACACATTCAGCTCAGGATTCTTGTTCTTTCCAGCTGCCTTCTTCATTGCTCTGCATCCGTCCGACCTCCAAAAACTCTCCTCTCTCTTTATCCTCTCGTCTTCTCCAGTCATCCCTTTGCTTTTTTGGCTCTGGTGCACACTCTGTCTCTTCTACAACCCCTCTGTGGTGGAACAAAATAGCCTGCAGCCAGCATTCACCTTTCAGTGCCTTCTCTTGTCATTTCTACACCGCATGTACTCTGGGGTTTACCATTTTTAATACTAATAGACACATACATGTACAAGATAAGCTGACTTCTAAAGTTTCCCGTTTTCTCCTTGGCTATTGTTTCTTTTGTTAATCATATTATCCTGGTGCACTGTGCTGATCATGCTGTAATCTTTATTAATATAGCTGCATACAGTATGTATTCCCCAATTTATTATATCATTCTCATTCTTGTACTACAGTGTATATTAAATGAACATAGGATGAGTTACTTCCATCCATTATGAGAAAGCTGCTCTTTCCTGCTCTGGTGAGTGACTGCAGTCTTATCCAGAAACAGAGGGTGCAATCAGGACTTCATCCTGAATGGGATACTAGTCCCTTGCAGCGCACACACAAAGATCTAGAAGGCATCAATGAACAGAAATAGCACGAAAACCCATACTGACACAGGGGGCACATGCAAACTCCACACAGAAAGAATCAAAGCCTGGATGCAGGAGCTGTGTGGGAGCAGCAGCACTTTCACTCTCCTGTGTTATGTGTAAAACTGTGATACCTCATTCTACAAATAGTAATTAAGTACTGCAACCTTAAATAAAAGTGTCTGCAAAATTAATAAAAATGATAAGAGGAATAATATCCAGAATATGACAATGAGATGGCTTACAATATATAGGGGAATCTTTGATTGATGTAGTTACATCTCTATTTTGCACTGTAGGGGTTTATTGGGCTTTTGCCTCAAAAAACAAACAGATTTTTTCAAGGTTAACAGTAGACTAGAAATTACGGGAGTTATGTGCTGATGCATTGTATTTTAGTGGCATAAGGTACCTCATGACCTGCTGAATTCCAGACATACGTTTTTAGTACCTTACAAAGCAAGGCTTTAAAGTAGGTTAAACTATTAATACAGCCTGTTATTGTTTTTTTTTTTCTATAGTGTAGCACTGATTAAAATTTTACCTTCTCAAAAAAAAACTTTACAAATGCTAAAAACTGATTTTTCAACCTGTAGTTTCAAGTTTCATTAAAACGAATTTTGAAATTAGCCTGTTGTTTATTTCAACACATACAGTATGTACTATATCTGACTGATTATAAAATCCCTCGTTGCAAAGTGTCTGAGACCATGCTAACCATAAAATAAAAAAAGAGACTGTTTTTTTTATATAGACCATCCGGTACAAAGTGAAAGAGAGATGTTATCTTTGAAAAATGTGCCTTCTGTTGCATTTTTGGGCATTATTTGAGCTATTTAAGTCACACTGAATAATACAACATACTGTACCTTAGAGTGCCTGATACTTATATCAATTTTAATGTTATCCTGTTATGGAAGTGGAGCCGACAAAAGTTTAATATTTTAATCTCATACTCCTCTAATGAACTGAAAAGGAAACCTTTAACTTGCCTTATTTTATTTATTTTTCTTCTAATTAAGAGAGCGTTCTTTTGTTTTCTCTGATCATGTGAGAGCAGCCCATGTGGGGTATCTTAGACCTCATGTCAATAAAACTAAGAGAAGATTGGAGTAGGTTCTATAGTCCGCTTTGGATGCCAATATGTTTTTTTCACAGACAATAGGAAAGCTGTGCTCATTCATGAATTACATTCTGACAAACTCAGAGTCTCAAAATGCAAATCTTACAATTCCTTTATAAGGCGTAACTTGTTACTATGTTTGCTCCTTCTGTATGTTCATCTCGGATCACGTGAGGATTGAATGACTCACAATCAACCAGGTTCCTTAACCAGGAAAGTGAAAAAATCTGGATTTTACCTTAACTGGGTATAATCGATAAAAATAAAACTGTTCTTTGAACATTGTACTAAACACACGATTGCTTACCTCTTCCCCAGCTCACCTCCTGCTGCAGCACACAGATATAGAGCTGGAGTGTGAGCTGTGGAGCGGAGCCCAGGAAGGCCTGGATTACGGACGTCCTGGCAAAAGCAGCCCGATGGGTGAAGATTTTGCCCTCAGCCTGCCCCACTTCCTTCTCAACCTCTTCTGACAGGCCTTCCTTTGGCATCTGTTTCTTCCTAGTAATGCTGACATATGGCTCCTCGAGTTTACCGGAGCTGCCATAAATCCAGAAAGCTTCCAGGCACCTGCAGTAGTGAACACTTCAGTTTCAATTCTGCATATTCTCCAAGCTCCTTCACTGCCCGCAATAATTGTACAGTTCTCTTATTTTTAAAATACTATCTCTGTGTTGGGGAAAAGCCACTGCAAAGGAACTTCCAGTTGAGCACCTTTTGGTAAGTGTACATGAGGCAGAGAGGTGGCCTTGTGGCTAAGGATCTGCTCCTGTGGCTGGAAGGTTGCTGGTTCAAATCCCCTGGCTGGCAGAGGAATCCTACTCCCTTTGGCCCTGGAGCAAGGCCCTTCACCCCAGCTGCTCCAGGGGTGCCATATAAATATGTGAAAAGACAAATTCCTATTGTAAGAAATTGTATATGGCTTATAAAGTGATCTTTGCTTAACTGTGAAACTATATTAAATACAGGTTATAAATTACACTGGTGATTAACTGAAGTGTTAATCTGACAAAAAAAATACTACAGTTTGTATTTCTTTTCTCAGGTGTTCTGGATCGTATCACCCTCTTGAGGTTTTATATTCTTGATACCGATAGTATATTGTGACCTACTGTTTTTTCTGCTATACAAAATTGTCAGTGTGCAAAAGACACAAGACTGTAAAACATTTAGAAAACATTTTATCACAGATTTCCAAAATACCAAAATAATGCTGGAAAAAATAAAAGAATGGAAGAACATTCAAAACATTGCTATGATTCTCTATGCGATTTATTGCATTTAAAATGGTCACGAAAAATTAGTATTTCAATAAAAGTGGCACAGTCTGAAAAAAGGCTCAACTACTGCAGTGCAGAATAGTGCAGACAGCAATCAAGTACCCAGTCTTAAACAACCGCTGATACGCCTACTGTACCTTTTCATTATTGAAGCTATTAAATATTTTAAAAACAAAGAGCATTTTAGCATTTCTCTTGGGTCATAATAAGTATTTTTAGAACCTGCTTATTTTTTTGCAATTGCTCTTGCTTTTGAACTTTAAATTACTAAGTGTCCCCTAAACAGAACTCTTGGGTTTATTGCAACACATCCTTCACTGCTATCTCACATACTATATGAGGGTCCACAAAAATACTTTTGATTTCATAAGAAAGAGCTATGAAAAGGGATGTGCTTACTGTATTTGCACATAGAATGTTTATTGAATTTGAATAAAACTAAGAGAAACTGGGCTGAGTTATATACACTACTGGCACCAAATATACTCTTTTCAACAGTACTACTGTTCATATTGCTATGGTTCTATTTATTAACTTCATTATGGCACCTGAGTGTGCTCATACTGTATGTCTGTGCACACCAACACATTATCAAAATGTGAAAATGCTGCTTTTGCATGCTTGTGTAGAATGATCATTATTAATTGACAAACACAGAGGACAGGCTCTTTGTTCAATCAATATTTTTCAAAACCTAAAGGGGGCAATACAACTAGAATGCAATACAACTAGAAAAGTAGTGGCTGATTGGTTTGACACAAATAGCACATGCTAATCAAATCTGTATGCATTTGTTTTACTCTGTCTGAAGATACATATTAAGGGATTTTCTTGTTGAAAACCCAGTAAATATATATAGAATATCTGACATAATAATGACTGCTAGATAAACGTAAAAATATGCACGGAAATGTGCAGAATTACTAGTATGCAGTCACATTTTCTGTATTTTTGGCTCTCTTCCTATGGAACAAAAAGAGATACTGTATATTCCTTTGTGATGAAAGGATCATTTTTTTAAGCAAAAAAACACCACTAGTTTACATACTAAAGCATGAAAAATGCCAATCCTATGCATTGTAATTAAATGTTGTTCTTCTTATCAAAATGACATTATATGGAACTATCAACTACTTAAATGTGCTGTTTATCCTGTTGCATTCTGTGCAGTTAGGACAGTCTATAGTATTACGTTCCATATTTAAGATTTCTTTTGAGGAGCCTTTACCATAAAAAAAAATATTATATACAAGACACTGTATACAGTAAGTCATCAATTTTTATGAGGTCAAGGACTCAGCTTACAAAAAAAATATCTAGAGTTCTTTATAAAATTAAGTCCCTAACATTATGAGGGGATCTTTGGACATAGTTTAAGTGGAAGCTACAGAAAAGTTAATTTAAAATTGATAACAAGAGGCATTTTTTCACACAGAGATGGAACAAGCTTTTTTTCTGGAACAAGCTACCCAGACGCACTGTCAAAGTTAATACCCTGAGTTCTTTCATGAAATGGCTGGATGAGAATAGTTACTGTAGTTACTACTAATTGAGCTGGATGGGCCAAACAGTCTTCGTCTCATGAGCCTCTTACTGTATGTTCTTAATCTCCAAATTTGCTTGAAAAACAAACTTTACAGTGTAATGATTGTTTACTCTACTGTAAACTACAATTATTTAAATTGTGAAGGGCTCTACAGCTTTTCCTAGAAAATAAAGACAATTATATTTTTACAAAATCAGGAACCCAACTGTATAATTATCCAGAAGTTAAAATGCTTGTTTAACAAAGTGGAAGCACAGTTTGTGTACTCTATACTGTACTGTATGTATATAGAAATCCAGATATACTGTACATCATATTTAAAACTCTGGAACAAGCAAACACGGTTCATTTGTATAATATGTGAACCCTGAAGACATATTCAATATGGCTGACAGGTCTGTCTGCTTTTTATATTATGAAAATACATTTTAATTAAGAGGCAATTGAACAGCGGGATGTTTCTTTCCACGAAAATGCTCCTTTAGGTCTCTTCATCTGTCAACAGGTCTTGTTTTTTACAGTTTCTAACAGAATTTACAACAAATGTAGTTCTTGAATTCCTGGCAGCTTTTGTGCACCAACACAGAATCAAATTATAAAGACCATTGTTTAGTTTCCTGCATGCTTTTGCACTTTCTTGACAACTCTTGAGTAAGTGTGTAGATTTAGCATCCAGCTGTGTGTGGCAGATGGGCAGCTCTGTTGGAGGATAACAGTGTGGGTAGGATTGAGACACCAAGCATGTCTGCACAGATTACTGTACTGTATGTAGCCATCCCTGAGTAAGCATATCAGTGAGTGAGATTCATTTTGTTGCATGGCACAACAGATTTCTTAGCCGGAAGGGATATTTTATACATTTCTTTGGTGTAGACCATAAGTTTATAATGTGCAGCCACATATATCTTTTTAGAAACGGCAAATTAATGGAACGTGACAGGTAGAAAAGCTGCTGAAGGAATGTTGTGTAGCATCATACACCTTTTGTGTCAAAGCATACTGTACACCTTTATAAATAACTTCTTGTGATGAAATACAAAACTAGTAATGTGTTTATTTTACATGTGTTGAAGGAGATTTTTTTCAATTCAAAATGTAACCGACGCAGCGAGCCGCCGCATCATCATTTATCACAGCAGATGCTATGGATGCCAGTATTGATGCCCTCGTCGCATATAACTGGCCTAAGCAGACTGCACGTAATGCAGATGCAGCATAATGCATTTACAGTATGAGGCCTGTGGTAAACAAAACGATAAGAAAACACCACAGCTAGAAACTAGAAAGCTTGCAACATCATGGTTAAAGATTAAAGCTCAAACTTATGCTCGATGTTTGGTGCTGATAAAAAGCATTTACTGTCGCTCCATATATAGTACATATGCTCACGGTGTCAAAATTACAATCGCGTTTCAGAACGCACGATGTGATAACTCACGGTAGCAGTAACTTTTAGCTTGTCCCTCTTCAAATGAATGTCCAGTAAATAGCAATTGATATTTCAAACCTGAACACTAAACGAAGGCGAATACCGCAGCGAGGAAAAAAACCGAATGTTTTAGGTGAATTGATGCAACTCCTAGGCAGCCTCTGCATGCCTGACCTACCTGACAATTGGCCCAAGCTGAATAATATGAAGAAACAGCACGAGGGGTCGATCCCTGCTTAGGTCTCGGTGAATAAAGGTTAGGGTGAGCTGTACCAGCACCGACGGCACCAGCACAAAGAGGAGAGTCAGCCCCTGCCAGATCTTGTCCCCGGCAGATCTGTAAGTGGTGCTCAGGTACACAGCAGCGGTCGTCTCGGCAATGAAAAGCGAGACGGACACAAAGATGGAGCTGGGGAGTCTCATCTTTACGCAGCCATGGGGAAGAAAACAGGTTTCCGTTGCTTCGTGTTCGCATGGGAAAACCGCACAGGCTCGCCCGTGTCACACAAGGCGAGGAGACTTCGAGATGGAGATGTGCCGAGGCTGCTGCTGCTGGTGCAAAGCAATTTAGCAGGTTGCTTTCAGATGACAGTTCTACCACAGTGATGCTGTAGGGGCCGCTACTGCAAAAGGAAGAAGAATTAAGATTTATGAACAGTATACAGCCAAAACGTAAATATTTTCAGCAGTTCGTTTCTATACAGCTGTATTATTATTTCTTCATTTACAATCCCACTACAGGTAAGGTTTTCCCTTTGTTATTCTATCTCAGAGGCTTGTTCTGGTCTGTCCTGGAATGGAAAACCTCTAAAGACAAGCAGGTTGAGAATGTGGTGTGGGAGTCCCTTTGAGGCGCTTTTCCTGTTGAAGCAAAATTAACCACACCAGGGACCACGTTGCTGCTGTATAATACTACTGTAGGTGCCATTCTTCAGAGGAGATACAGTATAAGCTGAGGTCCTGTCTCCGTGGTAAATAAAGAACACATAGTACAGCCATGTTCTGGCTGTATTCCTAAATTTGCACAATGTGGTCTCCTCAAACTTGTCTCCAGCATAGGCTCTGATCTATTACAACTTCCACGAGGGTAAGCAGCTCAACCTGGCAAACCCCAAAACCAGAAGGAACTCAATTGGTTTTGTGGGGAGACAGATCTCCCACACAAGCCTTTTTAGTTTTACAGCAGGGTCCAGAATCGTTACTGCACTGGCATCAACATGCACTGTCACAGTAGCCTGTGGTTGGCTCCCACCAGCTGAAAGGAACAAAGACTTTCCTAGCTCACAGGCAACACACAGGTGCACAAAAACTATCCAGGGGACCAAAGTGGACCTGAAATCATAGTAGCAAAACTATGCCAAATTGTACCAATACTTTTTCTTAAAACTAATATTGCCACTTGATTTCAGATTTTATACAGTATGTGAATGAACTCAGAAAATAGGAAGTGATAATTATCACAATCCTGGAGCTTTTAGAGCTCTTCGAGTTTGGAAATTACAGCACTCCATTTAATGCAATTAAATTATGACAGTAAATTTGCTACTTTTAAGTGACATTTTACTTTTTGTCTTGTTTTTATACCCCGTGCTTGTAACTGCTTCACCAGGTTAAACATATAAATATCATATGTTTAACCTCAAGCTTTAAAACTTCTTTCTAATGTAAATGTTGGAAGAGTAAGGATTACCTACACTTAAAGTGTGTGCTCCACAAAACCACAAGTAAAGATTTTAATTCTGTGGTTTATAAAAAAAAACTGTGAAAAAGTGTTGCAAAGATCATCAAAACAACATAAAAAGCATAGAGATTCAAAACACACTAAGTAGTGACGTGTACATATAAATGTCATCACACTGAAGGACACAAGGGAATCAAAGCTGAGCAAACTTGACAAAATATACATCATGGCATAGTATACATCATATTCAATTAATTATATGTAGAATAATATGGAATAACAGCAACATTGTACACACAAGACTTGAAAGAAAGGACAAAAAACACAGATTTCCACTAGGCCCTAAATTACAAATGTAGAATTCCATAAACTACAGTACTTTCAGACTGACCATGATTATCATGACATCAGTTAGGTTTTATTGGTAATGGTATAAAATGATAAATTAAAGCTATGCAGTGGAAAACAACCCTTTCTCATAAGATTGCAATCAGAAACTAAGCTAAGATATTGGGATATGTGATTTGATTTGCATTTGCTTTGAAGTCTAGCATTATACCATGAAACTCATTACTGTAAATACATCTTCCTTTATAGTTCTGTGTTTTCTCTTTGCACTCAGATGTGCTGGCATATTGTAAATTGATATGTGGAAACAGTAAAAAAAACTGTATATGAAGTACTTTAATCTAACATTAAATATGGATTTTATTCTTTTGTTAAACACAATGTTTTTTAAATAGTATATTACACACTATTAATTTCAGGATTTATAATGGATTTAAAGACAGGCATTAAGCTCAATTATGAGGGTGGATCAGTAAGCCCATAGAAGAAAGTAATTTAAATTGCTCTAGCAGCAATGTCTCCATCAGTTTTCAAACTGTTGAGGCTGTTTTGCAAACCTCAAACCACTAATGAAATTTTGAAATAATAACCACTGGAGGTTAGGTTTGGAATACAAGCTCATTAATTTAGCTGCTCAAACTTGCATTCAGAGATGGTGACTTAGGAAACACCAGACTTGTAGAAAACTATTTTGTCCTGAAGCTGCAGCTCACCTTTGTTGAACAATGCCTTCCTCTTCTGCTTGCTCACCTTCTCCATCTAATCAGCATAATACTCCTCCATTAATAATAGTTCTATTCGACACTTAATCAGTCACCAGGGCTCCTTTCGAATCCCAGAAAGATTACAAAGATCTTGCCCCCTGATGGTTGGATGAATATCACAAGAATCAGGGACCTTAGTTTGTTTTGTCTTTTGATTCAATATAACACCTGGAGACAGACATAAATGAAAATTGTCCATTTCTGAGGTGAAGATTTGATTCCTTTCGTTATGGCCAGGCACTATGTTTGGAAGCTGGAACATTAGTACTCCTAAGGACTATCCAGTCAATAACCAGCCAGACACTGTACTGTACTGTACTGTTTGGAGAAATAACTTACAGCACCACCCTGAGTGAAGCCAAAGATAGGGAAAAGTGTAAATCATGGAACAAGGAGGGGGCTCAACTTGAGCACATGCCTAAAATATATTTCAAGGACTCATGTCTACAGTATGTTAGAACTCAGCATATTCCATTAACTGATGTCATTTGTGAGAGATCCATTATTAAAGTACAGTAGAAGCATCACTTTAGTACAACAGTGGTCCTCTATTAGGGAAAGTGTTAAACACTTTTGCAAAGTTTTGAAGGAATGACTGAAATAAAATAAAATGTTCTAGACTCTTTTCTATGAAAGTTCTTGCCCACATCAATATAGTTGACAAAAATATAGGATGTTAATTTGACATGAACTAAACCAAACAACCAAAATGTACAGTAGCTGAGATCTATGAAAGCTTTCAGAATACATACATTCAAGATGTTTAAATTTATAAGAAAATGTTTTTGTTTAGTTTGAACAAAGTATGAAATATATGTATTGTATTCTGTTTGATAGTCTGAAAATTACCACACTGAATATTATAGACCCTGAAGAAATAATTATCCGAAAACAAAAAGAATATAAATTACTGCATAATCTCAGGTCAAAAAACAAAAAAGAAATAGCAATACAGTACACAGAATACTGCTGAAAAATAACTGCATTGTAATTGATCATTGCAAACAAATTCACACAGAATTGTACATCTTTCGTTTCTTTCAATAAATGGTAAATAAAACTTATTATAAAGCATAAATACACAAAGAAGCATAATAAATAAGCAGCCAAACAGTGTGAATATCTGTTTGTTTATACAGACACCTGGCATTTAAAAGTGAGTGCTGAGCTTGAGACACAAATGTAACATCTCTGCTTTTAGGATAACTGTAGGATTTAATTTCATTACAGAATTCCAAAATCAGTACTTTTTCACACGACTGCTTTGAGCAGCTGTAAACTGGGTAGAATAGACTCAGAATTAAATTCCATACTAAGAACTACCCTCTTCATAGAGACAAGCCGGCACAATATACATTTGCATGTATTGCAATCTGACCTATAATACAGTCTACGGTCTCCTTGCATTTGTGTTGGTGCACCAGTTTCCTCCACTATTCAAGACAGCTTGTTAAGTTAATCAGTGTCTCTAAAGTGTTCCTTAACTTGAACCATCCATGCTGTACTCCCACCTTGTCCCATACGCATCAAGAGCAGCCTATGGGTAGTTCCCTGTGAAGTAAGGGCAGTAGACAGGTTCCAATATCCTCAGGATTCTGGATTTCTAGAGGTTTCCTGACATAAAGAAATAAATATTTGCACTCTTCACAGAACTGGTCAAGTTCAGACATCTTTCCTTTACAAAGACACATATTACATTAATTAATTTAATAACACTACTGTATGTTGCTGGTTTTTACTTTACCACAGTCACAACATTAGTGAGAAGCTTTTGAAAAATTATTTACAGTCAACTCATTTCTTTAAATTGGCAGCCAAAAAAAGTGCCTTAGTGTGCAATAAAATCACAGCTATCCATTGTCACGGTCATCTAACCACTTAAAAACATCACAGAAAAGAGAACGGATAGCAAGGGGCTGATACCAGAACACACTGAGGAATGAACAGAAACTTCCCCTTACAAGTCCTGGGACTCTAGAGTGCTAACCGCACTGATCAATAAAAAGCCTTTTTCTTATTGCACTGAAATGGTAACATTATCTAGTGTACTGACATGCTCCCTATTATATCAAAAGAAGCAAACAACAACAATTAATGTTTCTTAAACATAGTGCATTTGATAACTCATCTTACAAACATAGGTGACAGTCCAACATTTTCCCCCATATCAAGTGATTTTACTTACAGTACTTTAATTTCTTTTCATCCTAGCTAGATTCACACTAACATCTTCTGCGAAGTGGTGTCCTCTGAATCATAACCGAAGGGTAGTACAAACACTTTAAAACTGAACACCCATGTGCATTCAAGACATATCCAAAAGAGCTGTGCAATGTTGGTACATGGATAACAACCATAAAAAAACAAAACTAGAACAACAGGTTATGCTGTTTGACTGACAGAAAAAATTAGGAATATATTACTCTCTGAGATGCCTGTAATGCGCATTGCTCAATTGGCAGTAAAGGATCTACACAAACACACTGAAAAGAGGAAATTCAGACTTCTCGGGCTGAATAAGGTCAACCAAAAAACACACTGTTCCAGAAAGACCTTCGAAGAGGCTGTAAATACTGTTAACAGAACAGGATCCTGCTCTGAATTCATCAGAAAACAGGAATTCTGCAAATCTGTCAAGAAGAAAAAAAAAGGAGACAACTTATTAGTCATAAATGATCAAAAGCAAGACGTGCAATGTAACATTAGAGTAGAGAGACCAGACCTGCCTTTGTGCCCTGTAGATGTATTTGGAGTTACCAGTCAATCTGTACAACAGTAGAAAGACGTAGGCACTACCAGCCACTCCATGACAAATCCCTGGGCCTTTCTTCAGCAGCCCCTTCTGCCAGGCCATCTCCCCACAGCGAATACACGTGTCCAGATACCGCGGTTTCTTGTTAATTAGGTAGGCTTTGGCAAACAGGTAGGCAACACCTGAGAAACACACAGCCTCTTTAGTTAAGAGTGCAAAACCGACAAAATTGTTTCAATCATGAAATAAAAAAAAAAATCTTGGTTATGTGAGGTTATCTTAACTACACGTACTGTAGCTGATCATAAACTGGCACCCCATCCAGGTGTACAGTACCACGCCTTGCAACTGTGTTGCTTGCTGGGATAGGCTCCAACTCCCCCCACCATGACACCGAACTGAGTAAGCGGATTTAAAAATGGATGGATGACCTTGCACTGAAATAGATATACAATATATAACTTTATTGTCTATCCAAAAGGGTGGGAATTTGTCATCAATGTCGACTAAAGCACAGAACGACTTGCTTGAGCCTTTTCCATGTGTCAGCTGTAGACTGATAAAAATTTACAGTGCCCCCCATATACTTAGGATTCTGACCTGGAGCCCCATGACACCAGTGGACCAACTCATTCTCACGCTCAATCATGGCCCCCAGTTCAGCTGGCCAGTTACAGTTCTGCTCCTGGTTCATCAGAAAGTCCACGCTCTGCCACACCAGGTCCCGGTCCCCTGTTGGAAGGAACTCGCTGTATGACAGTAACATCTGGAGGATGGAGGAGAGCCCATGAGCAGCACCTGGGAGGAGATTACACACCCACAAATTGACAGTGAGTTGAAATGGACCTGATGCCTGGCCTGTACTCCAGCTTCCTCTATGTGTTCTTGAGTCTTCAATTAAAATGTGCATTCACAAAACATTTAGACAACTACATTTTACATTGTAATTGCCTTTCAAACATGACTGGTTTCACTTTAGTATATTTTCACATTTCTTAAACACAGTTTAAAGGCTTAACTTAATAACTAGTATTTCTTTAATAATTATGTTGGATACACAAAATAGTGATGGTACAGTAAATGTTTTGTGAGCACAGCCAAGAGATACAATGTTACAGAACAAAAAAAAGAACATTGAAACTTTTAGGAGGGAATATTTTACGTAACAAAGGATCAGCTATACTAAGTTTAAACTCCACACCATGTGATTCTTAGGCAATCCATTCTATCAGATGCAGTAAAAAGCAACATGCAAAAACATTATTCCTTATGAAATTTATATAAATGACATCCAAGAATCAAAGGCTTTATGAATGTTTATTGCGTATTTACTGTATGTATAATTACTCCTTCCTTAACTTAAGTTAAGGACTTCCATTTAGAACTGCAAATTATTCTCATCGGTACTTCAGTGAATGGGCATTTTATCTTGGCTCACTGCTTACATATCCTACATCAGCCCAAAGAAGGTGAAGACAACCCTGGTGTGTCCCCTTGAATCATGTATTGTCGAGCAGTGTATTTTTGCAGGACTTGAACACCAGAAATAATGGGTTGGACAAAGGACTCACACGGCTGGAGTGACAGCACAAACTCTCACGTGCTGACCAGAGCTGGTTCCTGAGGAGTCAAGGATTTCCTAACTAATGTGAATCAATCAAGACCTAGAATCGCACTATGGGAGCCCTCAAACACAACTGCATAGTAGTTTAGCCCACATTTGATCTCCATGCTAGGGCATAACCAGATAGTCAGCTTGGTATCCCCATAGCGGGACTATTTAAAAATGTGTACTGTTGAATGTTATATATTTATGCAGTAGAAAATAATACTTTTCCTGGTGCAAAGACTTGGCACAATTGATTATCACACTAGTGCCACAGAGATCCATATGACATATCCATATTATTGGAGAGGTTAGTAAAAAATCACACCCTTATGGAAGATCTTTTAAAAAGGTTTAAAAAATTGCAAACTAAATTCAGTAATATAGACAAAACCTTTAAATACAAATTCTGAGTAGCGTGTTTCCTGGCATTATATGCAATGTGAGAAAGAGGAAAAAAATTCTCTCTCTAATTTGTCAAAGGTTATGATAAAATACAGCATTCAAGCTGAATGTTCTGTGAGAAGGTTTATAACCCAGAATGAAATTTATTGCAGGGTGTCTGAGCATCAGTAAAGAATCAGTTGCTCAATGCCAGTGTTATACAGTAGGTTCATTCTGTGGGTGTGCACAAAGAAAGCAGCTTTGATTTACTAAGTGAATGGATCTTATTACAGATTGCAGTGTTGCTCTGATTAATGTTCTGATCCCAAACAAGTCATAAAGCTGTCAGTCTGAACTTTGCTACAGAATGAGCCCCTGAAAAAAGAAAGTTAGAAAATGGTATGCAAGGACATGGGTCTGGTGCAGGAGCACAAGACAACAAGCAGACAGAACATCAGGTCCAAGAAAAAAATGACATGCAATTTCAGCTGAAATGGTACATGGGGTTGTCACCAATCCACCCACTCTCCAGAAATATAAAGGAGTCTGTGGATATACAGCAATCTGTGCATTTACTGTGCAGTATTCATGTCTTTTATTACATGCAAACAGTCTCATACTTTGCTTACTATGGCCACTGTGTTGTTGTGAAAGTTTAATCTTCACATCTGAATCACTTCTCCATCTGGTACAGTCAAGGAAAAGTAAGGTTAGCTTTAAATAAGAGGGGAAAGAAAGCACCCAAAGCATGACAGCTGTGCTAACAAAACTGCAGGATGATCAAGAGTTTTTACAAGATGTGAGCATAAAGGATCAATGCAGATTTAAAGAAATAGCTTTTGAGTACATTTAAGCCCTTCATGAAAACCAACCCTGCATGACATTTATGAACAATGCATACTTGTAAAACACTGTGTATGTAAATAGGTACTGCAGTACTTAAAACCATGAGGCACATTGCAATTTGAATCTATCGGTTGTCTCCCATGAGGTGAATAACTGTTGACAAAGACAGACACTGAGGGAATGAAATAATTAGAGCTCTAAGAGGAATCTGCAACATTACAGACATACTGTATAACACAGGAAATCCATTATTAATTCCAGAAACAACCAGAGTTTATTAAAATTGAGTGGTGCCTGTCTGTTTAAAAGTCTCAAGCAGATTGAATATGACATTTATAAAGATAAATATTTTGCCTATCAAGCATTGTGCTTTTAGAGAAAGACAGCAATGTCAAAATACATGTCCTAATCCTCTCTGCTTTGTATGATGCCCCTTGAGCTATTTAGCAAGAAATCCATTTACATATTTGTAAATCTTTCAGAACTGGGCTTCAAAATAGAACAAAGAGCATGAGATAAGAAGACACATGAAGAAACCAGAAGAATGTGCCTAAGTAATGTAATTATATTTACATTTTGTGAGGCATCCTTTCAACCAGAAGGAACAGGGGGATAAAGTTATTTAAAGCTTTTCATTTGAAAACATGCACATACTTGGACCAGCTACACCAGCTATAACAAATATTTTAAACTAATTTTCCAAATCAAAAATAGCACTTAAAATAAAATTGAGGTACTCCTGAGTCCTGAAATTCTCCTTGATATTTCTCTATAGAGAAATACTCTGTTTCTGAAATAGAGCACTGTTCAGAGGTTATAGTACAAGGCATGCTTTGTTGTAATCCCTAAAATATTTTTTCGCACATTTAGAAGGGGGGTTGTTTATTAAAAGCAAAAACAATACATTAATATGTTTGAGTCTAGTTTGAAGGTTTATGAGTTAATCTGCAAGATCAATGTTTAAAGACTCCAGGAGTAGACATTTTCCTTCTAAGATACTGTAGATGTCGAAGACAAATTATTAAAGTTCTCTTATTATTCTTTTCTAATGATGAAATGTTAATCTGGTAAAAAAGTAGATGGAGAAAAAGCCAATTCATCATCAAGTGAAGAACTTTAGGTAAGGTTATAGTAAAGGCTTTTTCACAAATGCAAATTAAGCTGTGTTTGCAAGAAATAATAAAAAGAGGGTTTTGGTTTAAAATGTCCACTTAACACATTAGGTGAAGTACTCTCCAGAAATAAAACTTGCTTTTAATTGTAATGGGTGTAAATTATACTGAAGGAGCTACACTTACCTAAGTATTCTGTGCCATAATAGGAATACATGAGAGAAAAAGGCTTTCTTTTCTTCCTTGCATACTGCTTTCCAGATTCAATTATAGCCTGGCAGATTGCTTTGATCTGCTCTGGACTTAATACCTGTGTGAAACATGACACATGAAAAACGGTAAATTAAATAAGGTACAGACGCTGTATTATTCCATGTCTGAATCTCCTCCCCCCCCCCCCATAATCCGCCCACATATACTGTATTTTGAAACAACCATTTGGTCACTGCACACCATTCATTGGAATGATTCATTTGTTTTCGTACTGTACATCTGTCAGTTCTTTTTCAGGAAATGACATTTTACTTTAAACAGAATATTTATTTTCCAGTTTAACCTACTGTATATACTTATTTTGCAAGAGCTTCTATAAAATATAAAAGTTGTGAGAGGTCAGAGATCTTTAAGTAAAATAATTCTTAAAAACAGATCCAGATGTGACCCAGACCAACAGTTTTAAACTAGCAAAATTAGTCTAGAGAATAAAGAGACAATAAAAACATTATTTGGCTTTCCAAGTTTTAGTAACTTCCATAGTTGGGCACTTTTTTTTGTCTAAGTCACCAAGTACAGTATGGAAGTATGTACAGTAACTAAGTAACAGGAAAAGAGACTAGCATAAAAACAATAGTTTACACAACAGATGGCGAAATAACAAAACATTACAAAAGTAAATAACAGACATATTGCACACTATTAACAGCTCCAAAACACACAATTCACTTCAGTTAGATCAACGTTGAAGTGGTGAAGTGTGATTATTATTTTTCCCCCCGTAACACGTTTTTCTAAGCTGTGGCATCTTTTAAAAAGCAAAAAAATCATATTGCAAATCCACTTTAAAAAAATCTTAAACTGTAAAATGGGAAGACTGTGACAGTAAAAACAAAAGAGCAGATATAAAATATCTTCACTTAATGTCTAGCAGCTTTTTATGGAGAAACGTTTGAAACAAATATATGACATTAAATGGCGATGTCATTTATTTTTTGTTTATATTTCACTCCTCATTTAATAGCACAAGTGTTATCTAACATTATACTACAGGACCTGCGTGGCAGTACAGTAGGTAGTTCAAGTTATCATGATAATCTTTTTAAGATAAGGTAACGCTTTACCTTAGATGTCATTTCGTTTCTAGTAGAACGCCATTTCAGACAGGCAACTACAGCTTAACGTCTGGATTTTTTAAAACGTTCTTTTTAGTGCGCAGTTCATAAATCACGATCTTCCTCTCGCGGCTAAGAAAAGTATTGCACAGGAGCGTCAGCGAATAGCGTTCATTTAATGGTAGCGAGCTGCTACGCGCAACTTTGTGAACTTAAAAATGAATAAACCTAGCGGAGGCCCGTTTTTGCGAAATGCGCTGAATATCGGATCCATCTTCAAAAACAGTCTTATTGTATCACTTTTCAAAACCTTACCTCTATTCCCAGATTCTGTTTAAGAACTAGAGCGCCGCACAGATAACCCGCTCTTCCAACAAAAAGCTCATCGGAGCCGCATTCGAGGAAGGTGAGGGGCGCGCACACCTCCCAGAGGTTCCGAAATTTGGTGAGGGGCTTGACAAAGTCCGCCAGCCCCAGGGCTTTGTACACCATCGCTGCGACTGCGTAGATACCCGCTCCCCCAAGGAGAAAGGCAGCTCGCATGTTCTTATCTGGCTCGGCATCAACGGACCGCACGTACACATCTATGATTCGCTTCGCTGTTTTCAGGTAGTTGTCCCTTTGCGGGGCAAACATAGGACACTCGGAGACGTAGTATAACATGTATGCCACCCCCGCCGGACCGTCATACAGACCCCCATCGAGGCAGTCACTTGGATCGGTGGCAATGGGAACCGTCTTAATAATCTTCTCGATAGTGCTAATCACTATGGGCACCACAGCCTCCTTGCCCTGCCCTGTCAGTAAAGCACCTTTGTAATCATCGAACCGGTTGGCAAAGCAACGGTTCGTTTCCATCACAGAATGAATGAACAAATGTAACACAAAATGCTGACCAAAAAAAAAAAACTTAAGCAAATGCCGTTCAGAGCTATTTTCGGATTAACAAATGTTTCCTTTTTTATGTGCTGAAAATTTCAGTATATAACAAATGAGGAGGTTTGAGTTTAAGAAAGGCAGACTAGCAATAACAAGCCAGGTACAAAATAAAAACGCGCAGAAGGCTGCTGCGCTCAGAGACGTTTGTAGGGAACCCGGAAATGGTCTTTTGTGAAACCAGCGATTTGTGGGACTTGTAGTATGTTGTCAATCAAAATAATTTAAATCAATTTATTAATTAACCAAGGCAGCGCGTGCTTTTTGTACAGTTCACAACATCTTCTTTTAAACCCTGGCACAAAATTGTGAACTAAACGTTATTACTCTTTTTCATTGTTTGTATTACATCTTTATGAGGCACGTACTGTACTGTAGATGGGGCATGGATTTTAATTTGTTGAGAGCACAGTAGCAGGAAGCCTGATTCTGCAGTGATGATGATAACAATAAACTTATCCCTCTTTGGGATTAAACATCACTGTGAGATATTATAGTCCTCGCAAGGGCAAATTTTAATTAGGATTTTCTTTATTAGTCAAAGATTAAAACGGGCAGAATGATAGTCGCAGAAGTCCAACACTTTAGGACACCAGGAGTACATACCCATTGCCTAACAGTTCCCCCACCCTAAACTTTCTTTTTGTGCCCCTTGTTTCAACACATAAATGCCTTTTCACAACTGCTATTTAGATTGTGATGAAATCCAAACGCGTTTAAAAATGCTGAACCTGGCATCAATTACTTCATATTTTTGTTGCACAGTTTGAACAGCAGTTCGGCGAATGACTCATGGTATTTGTCTTTTAGTGTCTGGTTCTGGAACAAACAGATATGTAGACGTAAAACACTTTTATTTGCATTTCATTTATTGACAAATTTCTTTAAATTTCTGTCATTTTAAAATGTAATGTCAGTTATATATATTCCAAAGCATACAACTCGTTGGTCTACGAAAACAGGATGGCTAGAATGCATCAAATTCAACCACAAAGTTCATAATGCAACCCTTCCCTTTTTACAGATAAACCAATTCTGATTATTTTCATTAGCACTGAGGACTTTATATACTGTACATTTAATGAGCACATTAACATTTAATTGTTAATTAGAACAAACAACAGAAATGAAATTAAATGTCAAATTTATGTTGTTTGCAAATTATTGTAATTATTTTGGTGTAAAAGTGAATAAATCCAAATTGACCAAAGATGAAAGACAGCAGCTCCATTCATACAACAGTAACGTTGTCACCTTCTGGTGTGTTCTTGTATGATTTTAGAAGCTATAGTAAGGAAACACCTAGTCTGGTTAGTACTGTGGTCCTGGGGTGGGAGACCTTAATGCAATATCAGGTTGCTGCTGCAAATGAGTGGTGTTGTAGCTTCACTTAGCGGTGTTGATTAACCACTAAGTGAAGCTTTTCACCCTGAGGGAAAATTACCAAAAAAAATGTTAATAATAATAATTGCTCACACTTATATTGCACTTTTTCTGGACACTCCACTCAAAGCGCTTTACAGGCAATTGGGACTCCCCTCCACCACCACCAATGTGCATCCCCCACCTGGATGATGCAACAGCAGCCATAGTGCACTAGAACACTCACCACACATCAGCTATCATCGGGGAGGAGAGCAGAGTGATGAAGCCAGTTCATAGATGGGGATTATCAGTTTTACGTCTCATCCGAAGGACGGCGTGTTTGTAGTATAGTGTCCCCGTCACTATACTGGGGCATTAGGACCCACATGGACCGCAGGGTGAGCGCCCCCTGCTGGCCCCACTAACACCTCTTCCAGCAGCAACCTTAGTTTTTCCCAGGTGTTCTCCTATCCAGGTACTGACCAGGCTCACACCTGCTGAGCTTCAGTGGGTTGCCAGTTGTGAGTTGCAGGGTGATAAGGTTGCTGGATAATCTATTGTAAATGTCCATGTAAGTGGCAGGTAGGGGACACTAATACAGTGCTGCCTCCCTTCGGAATAGATTGTAAACATACTTTGTGAATACTTGGTCATTAAAGATTTCATGGCACTGTTTGTAAGGGAAGTATTAACCCTATTGTCCTGACTAAATTCCACTTCAATTTTTAGCGTTTTCTAGCTCATTTTTTTTTCCTTTATTCAATCAGTGAAGCAATTTCCCATTTCTGTATCCAATTCGTTGTGTAACGGGACTGCTAGTGTGAAATAGCTGCAGCTTGTCACCCAGATGGGTGCTTTGCTTTTGGGATGGATGAGGTAGGTCCCTCCTGTATGTAAAGTGCTTTGCAGATGAAAGTCCTACTGTATACTGTGTACTGTACAGTACACAAAACATTTATTATGAAACAGGTCAATCCGATGCTCTTGTCAAGTCCCTTTCTTTTCCAGAAGGTGGGAGTGTTGCATTGAAAATATGAAAGTAGCATATGGTGGCTTTCATGGGATTTAAAAAATAATGGTTTGATAAACAAACGACTTAATGAAAAAATATTCCATCAGAAATATACATTTTTTCTTTATGATTTTTGTTATTATTGACCCTCCTTCCCTGACAGTTTCGGATTTTTTTAGCATTATCATCAATCCCATCACCAACCCAAAGCCATTCACACCATCCATGAGGAAAACAGCCTTAGATTTAACATGGAGAGTGTGAACCTACTGTACAATGGAAACTTCAGGTACAGTAAGTAACTTGTGCATTTATTCTAGGGCATATACATTTCTGCCAGTTGTGACAATGTTATACAGCATGTGGTGAATTCTTAGAATAAAGGCAAATTGCAAAAAAACCTATTTTTCTATAGGTTATCATGGATGACTTTAAGAAATATGTCAGGAAGGGTTTTTAGAAAAGTTGGCCATTAGAGATCTTAGAACCTCATTTTTTAGTGATGGAAAACCCTTTGAATTTCATATCATACTTTTCATTTTAAATTCTTTAGTATTCATAATCTTTGAAGAATATGTTGTATGTAGTGTAAATTAAATAAAAAATTAATAAATAGCTAAATCTAAGTTCATCCCTTCCTCAACCATACACACATACTGTGCACACAGTTATTTTTTCAGTCTTGTTTCAGTGTGGGTACAGGTTATGATCTACAGTAAGTAACTTTTTGTAAAATACCTTCTCCCTGGTGCCAGCTGACAGTTCATAACCGCTTTTTGCAAATTGCCTAGTGTTTAAAATATCGATTCGAGGAGAAAAAGAAGTAGAAATTAAAACATTTATGAAGTGACAGACAAACAGCTAAGAGAGTTTACTCTTTCAAGATTGTGCAAGTTATTTTAGTTTCCTTTTTTCCATTGCCTGTTTACTGCTGTCCTTGTACTTGTTCTCTACTCCTCCCTGCCATGGGTGAGCTCTATAGTCACATCACACCTCCTCCCTGACCTCATCTATTCTCCTCTTGTTTGGTCAGTCTCTCATCCTCCTCCTTTCCAGCTTCTTGTCCATCGCACACCTGCCAACAGATCCAGGTGTCTCTTCTACAGTGCATAGTTCTGGTCCTTTTAACATATAGTGTTATTAAACCACGTTTATCAAAGATCAAATATTTGTGGTATATGGGCACTGTACTGACTTCAGTTTATGGGATACCAATGACATAAATGAATAATAAGTTAATATATTATTTAATTGAGCCTTTAATTAGGGGAGATATCTGATTTTGTGCATAAATGGACATTTAATAGAGGTCAGATACTACCATGTTATTTACATGATATGTACAGCATGTTCTGTTCATATATCCAGGTTATAAAGGGTTAATAAAACGATTTGCCTCTCCTGCTCTAAAGCATGACTGATAAAACATACCATATTTTTAAATAGTTTGTTAAGCATTCAACGAAGAATAATAAATTGTTTCTGAGGAGGAAGCTGACTCCAACACTTGGCTATCAGAATGTAGCAAAGCAAATTGAACCAGCTTGAAGAAAGACACTAAGGTGTCATCCTATTTTGAGAAAGCTCAGGGAAATGGCTGGGCAGTCTCTGGCTGTGTCTTACAGTAAGTGCCAGTGAACTCTGTCCATGGTGCTGAAACCCAGGGAACTGAAAGCACTGGAATAAGGTTATTGTAGGATTTCAAAAGAAAACAAAAACTTCAGTTTCAGATTGAAAGTGGGAAATGCATTAGCCTTTGAACTGAGTGTATTTCTTTGTCAGTTATCAGAACAGCTATCCTGTGGGATAAAACAGGAGATTACAGAACAGAAGAAGCATAAAACAAACAAGGTGAAAAGGATATGAGCTATTGATTAAAAACAAGAATACAGAAATTTGAGGAAAGAAGATGAGATACTGTTTCATCCCCCTTCTCATCTCACAGTTCAATCATTTGATCAATTGTAAGTAAGTGTCCCCTTCAAAACAAAGCTTAGCAAGTTTCAAAACATTAAAGCTTGTCTTGTCATTGTTATTTTATAGAACATCTCTGAGGTAGTATGCAAGATATATGAAAAAGATGTGAGTGAACTACAAAACGTGCTTTAGTTTTTTTAATTTTAATTTAGAATTGGGCAGCACAGTGGTGCAGTGGTTAGCACTGTGAACTTGCAGTGCTGGGGCCCTGGGTCCAATTCTGGACTTGGGGTATTTGAACTGTATGTCCTTCCCATGTTTGTTTGGGTTTCCTCCAGGTGCTCCAGTTTCCTCCCACAGTCCAAAGACATAATGGTTATTTAAATGGATTCTGGGCAAATTGGGCCTCGTGTGAGTGTGTGTATCTGTGTCTGAGTGTGCCCTGCAATAGACTGCTTCACTGTATTGCCACTGTTGCAGGTAGTACAAGCAAAGCAACACTAGCTAACAGGCCAGCAGCATTGTAAGCAGGCAGCATGTAACGGAGACAGACAACTGCAGCTTCTAACAGTGATGCTGGACACAGGCAAACACAATTCAGAGCCATAAATAGGGACAAAGTTCAAAGCCAAGAAACACAGTACAAAGTGCCAGAAGAGAATCCAGAGAATCCAGATGGTGTACTGTATTCTGTAAATTAATTTATTATAGAATCTTTTATGCTAGTGCTGGTTGGTACAGTATTTTTTTTTAATATAGAATTATCAGTTTTATTAATTACACATCTCATTTGGAATTGACAGTGATATATTTAGCTAACAGCTCTATGTGTTCCTCACAGAAACAACAAGAA